CCGCCCAACCAATTGAGCTCAACATGACATTTATGGCCTTTAATTTAAATCAGCAGCAGCTCGAACGCAGGTGGTCCTGTTGGTTTCCTTTGCAACACCCATTGGGTCCCCACCTTTTCGGAAACCGCGCCTGTTTGTGTCAATGAGCTGGCGCACATTGTCGGGCGAAACAGTCACCTAAGTCGCAGCTTGGTGCTACTCTTCCAGACCGACTTCATGACTTCGCCATTCTCACTACTTCATGTGCTGTGACGACCAGCCGAAGGGACTCCTGAGAAACCTGGAAAGTAGGTTTGCTTCTGTGCAGTTCCACTACCTATGCCAGCCCCCAAGTGATAGATTTGAGGACCAACCTGACCACGGTTTCTGACTTTGCCAACTCCGGGAAACTGTCGCAGTAATGAGCCCAGCTTGAACGAGCGCAACATTTACCCTCCAAACCCTTGCTTTGTAGGCGGGAAGGTAATTGCTTTTCAGGTTCGATGGGGAACTACATAGTTGTCAAACGATCCAAGGGGCGATGCTAGCAAAGGCCCAACGTCGCGTTGTGTGCTGTTCTGCAAGTCAACCTTCAAGGACCCTACAAACCATCCCACAGACTACCAGTTTACGGTCGCGTGGATTTTTTGGGGGTGGGTTGCAGGAACATCTTTTCCAAGCGAGCAGTTTTTATAGACCAACACCCAACCTACTCACCTAGACAACAAAGTTGCTTCTTCGGAGACAAAGTATGTGGTTTAACGTGGGAAAACTAGAGGACGACTGGCCAAACAGCATTGTTTCCCAGTGTTTTCGGGGAATCATTCTGCAACGCGCTGGGATGATTCACGTCACCCATGCCCTGCAGGAAAATCTGCCAGTCTTTCGTCAGCAGCATGCATAAAGTGAACTCACTAGACTAATTACGCCCCATCCTGCCACTCAAGCCGCTTCAAAACAAGAAGCACGTAGCCTCTCCTCCGCTAAGGCCGCTTGGCAAGTTCCTCTGTGTAAGTTCTGTCTGCAAGTTTCTGTGCGCGGCTTGCTCAACGCGCTGCGCTCCTTTTGGGCTCAAAAGTTGTGGTTTTGGAGCTCAAGCTGAAGAGCGTACCTCGCGTACTACTTTCTCTGCTTTCATCAATGGCATCAGGCTGCTCAAAACCTGGCATAGGTGCTTTTCTTCAAACAAATACAAAAAGAAAAGTGACAGGGACCTCCGCCCAAGGGGCTGCGACGGAGTCGTCCCCCGGAAACCCCCGGCAGCCGTCCAGAAGTCGTGGCGCCATGGCGCCGGGAAACCCAGGCCGCCCAGAAGCGTGGCTGCTGGAAGGCACCAGTTTTCTCCGTTTTTTTCTCTCAGTTTTCTCCTAGTATTCACCTTCGTTGTTCCCCTAGTATTTTCTGAGTATTCCATTTGGGTGTTCCTCTCTTGGGGTGGTTCAAAAAACACCCATGGCTTTTGGAGTTTTTTTCGTGACACAAACTTGTGGTTGGCGGCTGGTTTGTGGGTGAACGCCGTTGTCGGCAAACACATGCTCCCAGTCCATGGAATGAACGAGAGCAGTCTCTCACACATGCTCCAAAGCACCTCCCTCATCTCAGCTGCCGAAAGATATTGCACTGCTTCTGTTGCTGTGCCCGGGATGACGCATCATGCCATGCTTGTTTTTGTGTCAAGATTGGCCGCGGTTTTTCGATGTTCTGTAAAATGCCAGCGAAAGTGATCTTCCATTGCGGCAATGCGCTCACAAATCTGTGGGTGAGTTCACCAAAAAAGCCCCTAAAAAGCGCAACATTCACCATGGGTGAGGTTGCAAACCTTTGGCCATCGTGCCCTACATTTTTGGGTGATCAGGTGGTCTGGAAGAATTGAACACGTTTCCATCAGCTTTAAGCGTCCGTTGGCGGACTTATACAAAAAGAATGTGCGATCTCGAGTCGAGCTTTTTCGCAGCATAGCCAGGTGGGCCTGTGCTCGCTCGCAGGTCTGAACAGCTTTGAAAGCTGTGGGAAGTCAAAAGTTGGGCTTTGCAACTACACTTTGGACTCTGACCCTGGGGTCACTGGACTTCCCCATGAACAATTGATCACCTACAGTGGGTTGCAAACATGAAAATGTTTCAAGGTCAAGGAAAAAGCGATGGACCTGGACACATTAGCGGTAGAGTCCAAGCTACACTCGAGACAACTCGATCTGTAGGATCACCCGCTTGCCTTCAGTAACCGGAGTGATCCAATGAACCAGCTTCTCGCCACCTGAGCCAAAGCGAGGCGTGTAGCTTTGGCCCTGGATTTCCGAAGCCCTTGACTAATACGGGAGTCTTTGTTTCCATCTAGGTGCCCATTTGGCGTTTGTTTTTTGAGCAGCATGTGAATCAAAGCCAGGGAAAGGGCCATGGCAATTGATGCCTTTGGAGGTTTATCATTCTGCAGCATCCACCAACGGCTGTATACGTCAATGTGCACGTATCTGTCTATGTACCTTTTTTTTTCTCGTGTACATTTCGAAGCTGACCCTGTCTGTCTACCACACCGACACCCCTGGAAAGACTTTTGTGCACGCTGGACGCAGACCTCCCTGACGTTCTGGTACTACATCCTCACCACAAAAAGGTCCGGACTGCTTTTGGCGGGTGGAGACGGCGCTGTGCGTGTGGCGGCTTTAATGGATGCCGCCAGCCATAAAGGCATCTCTAGGGTCCGCGCGGAACAAGACCTCAGCCGGCCAGCAACCCTGCACTCTGCCAAGAAGGGATTTGCTATCGGATGATATGTGGCTCAATTGGTAGCCAAAAGGGCACCTCCTTATGGAAAAAACAAAAACTGCGGAATCCAGCTGTTTGATTTTAAGTCACACCCATAAGGTCACCCATATATCTACAAATTGATACCTGTCCCAACTGAAGTAAGGCAACCTCTAAGGACCTTCATCATCGTTTTACCCCCAGGTGAGCTCGCTACGAAGTAGGCATATGGTTCCCCTGGGTTTGTAGGGCCTCCGAGTTTCTAATTTGGCTTCTACGCGACAGCTGCCATCAACCCACCCGGATCCTGGAGGCTTCGATACTCGGGATCATTTTCTCAGGGTGTGTGAAACAAAAGCGGGGAATGCAGCGATTGTACCAAAACATGTTCTCAACATAAGGGAAACCCAAACATTGAAACATTGGTGGTTTCCCTTCAGTTTCCCCTGCAAAAGCCAACCCAAACACGGTACGCTCAAAAAAGACACCACAGCCCACAAAATGCCGATCCCTCACACCTGCCAGATACAAATCTGAAATAACTAGTCAAAGCACCCGCGAATCCCCAGTCTCCCATGGCGTCCCACCCCATCCCTAAAATAAGGTAGCCTCTTTTTCGGGTTGGTTTTCGAGGGGAGCAAAGCAACGGAGAAAGAAAGAAGAAAAAAAAAACGTAAACCAATTTTGGGGGCTCCCAGTTCGGGGACCCACGCTGATCCCGGGCCATTCCGGGCGTCCCGGCCACGTCGCCCCGGTCCAGGCCCAGCTCCCGGTGCCCGCGGCTGCCCTCCGCGCGCCGGAAGCAGCTCCGGCCCCCGCGGTAGGCCCCGGAAGGCGAGAGCATGGCCACCATGGTGACCTGAGTGTCTCACTCAGCTCCCGAAAAAAAAAAAAAGAAAGCCGAGACGGGTGGCTTGTCCTTTGGTTCTTAGGGACCCCAGCATCTTTCAGGGGGACGCCATGTTTTTTTTTGGGGGGGGACGCCTTTGTTTTTGGTGGTTTCCTTGTTGGATTGCCTTCAAAACCAAAAAAGCAAGGGCACATCGAAAAACACCACACCCGTTATGTGGATGATGATGCCACGGATATGTCACTCTGTCACTCCCAAAATTCAAAACACAAAGGCGGGTGGCTCGTCTTTGTTTAGGGGACGCTTTGTGTCTCTCTCTTTTCTTTGGGGGGGGGGACTCCAAAATGAATGGTGGTGCCCTTTTGGATTCGCTTTACCCATATGTAGGCATGGTGATGGGGACCTGTTTTTCATGGTACCTGACCACGACCGTTTTATGGCTTTGGAGATTGAGGTATCGCTCGCTTTGGACATTGATTTATGGCTTTGGAACACCCCATGTGTTTTCCTTGACAAGCATCCAAACAGTATGAGGCAGAGCTGCTTGGATTTCCATCCATGCCTACAGGTGAGTGGATCTGGTCTTCGGGTGCGAGGTAGTGAGCCAAACAGTAGTGGAGCTTCCACCCCACCAGATTTGAGCTTCTTCCTAAACCAAGATCCTCACTGGGACCTGAGCCACCTGGTTGTACTGAAAGCAAGAAGCGATAGGACATGTATAAAGAGATAAAAAGAGCCCATCACCCAATGGGGCGTGGGGAGGGATATTGGAAAGTCTACAAGTGCTGGACCTCAGTTCGACCAAGCAGCCGCAGACTTGTTGTCCACGTGCGGCTCAATATAGCACGGCTCCCCCATCTCTTCCACGTCGTACTCGATGTACTCAATCTCCGGGTATACCTTCCTCGCGGTCGAACAAATGAGGTGCAACTCATTTCGGCGTGTCTTTTTTTGAGGGCGCCCCCTTTTCGGGGTTTGAACGCGAAGCCAACAGGAAGACCATCTTATTTCAGCTTTAGCTGTTTAGCCCGTCTTGACAGCGTGTGGGCGTTGCTCACTGTGCGATATCCGGAAACGGCGCCTTCCCAGCCACCAATTCGTAGGGCGAGGTTCTCGGGTATAAGAGGCAGCACGGAAGAGGCTGAAAAATATTTTCCCCAAAGTCCCACACCCCGGCTCTTGCAAACCACCTTTAACGTGACACCTTCCATGTTCGAATTTTGGCCACATCGATGGCGATGGCCCGCCCTTTTGAGTGACTCCGCCGAGCGGCTTGGACTTTTTGCAAAGCCTCTGCCACTTGGCTTCGTCTGCGCTCCGCATCAAAGCCATCAAGCGAGCCTCAACCCGCTCGCCAAACTTGTGAGTACCACAACGGCCAGGGAACAGCACCACTTCTTCACTTTGAGATCTTCTTACAAAATGACCACGGAAAATAGACACCGAGCAAAAATCGCTGGGCTCCGAAGACGGGGCAAACAAAGCTAGGCTGGTTGGCTGTAAGTCGAAGGCTCTGTGATGCTCCGTGAAATCAATCTGGGAAACTCGATCTGATTCAAAGGATGGACAAAATAGCCCACATGCTTTCCTTCAAGGCCTGGTGACAGGCTTACACTCCCAAAAAGTCCAAAACGTCCTGAACGTGTTCCAAAGGCTTGGACTATGGGGCATCCGAAAAGAACGAGGTCTGTGCAAAGAAAGATTGCCCAGCCGGAAGCCAATCCTCACCATACCCTTGTAACCAAATTGGCTATGTTGAGCAGGGGAGTATGTGCGTTGTCAACTTGGGGACCCCCCAAACATCAACCTCTGAAAGGGTGAGAACCACACACACACACACACCCAGGTACAAACTCCCCGAAATTCGCTGGAAACGCACAACCCCCTCACCCCCCCACAGCCCCACATTCCCTCCAATTTGTTGTGGAAGCAGCGTAGAGCTCCGGGAAGAGCGCTCTCAGCTGCAACTCGAAACGCCAAACCCTGGCGATTCCCATCCGCTGGCACCAGTGGGTTGGCACGTCCCCCCCGGGCCCCAACATTAAGCGAAACCAACAGGATATTGGATTCCCAAACACCCATGAGAAATGTCCTGTTGGAAGTGGACAGAGAGGTCCACTTCAGTGGTCTTCCCACACCTTGTCAGTAGAAGCCACCTGCTTTGCAAGGGGATCCTCTAAATCACTTGCGAAAGCTGTTGCTTTTATCTGGCCCAGTTCATCCTTTCAGGGAGCGTGTGGAAGGCAGAGGCGAGGAATGCGGGCGTGGTTCGAAGTTGCTGCTCTTTTGGGATTGAAAAGGTAATTCTTTCTGAATGCACTCTCTCTCTCTCTCTCTTTTTGGGGGGTGGGGAGAGGGGTCCATTTAGAGACGCCCCCATGTCACCCTTGACCGCCCCACTTTCATAGAATGGAACCCCAAAAATCCCCAAAAGGAGGTTGCTCTACAAATGGTAGTGCTTTGGGTTCCATGTCAATCTGTAGGGGAGCAAGACCCAATCCCATGTTCAATCCCATTGAAAGCGTCCCCGCAGCGATACAGCCGAGTTGCTTCCCGATTTGTCCAGTTTGCCCTAGATGTTCCCTTTAAACATCCCCCCATATCGATACATTGCTCCAAACGGTGTTGTCTAAAACGAGCACAAGGGGACGAACCCACCAAAATGGTGGCTCTCCTTTGTTTAACAGGGTTTCTCATCCTCTCAAAACATCACGAAAAGGAACTCGCGAAATGACTCAGTAGGTTACGGCCATGGCCAGGGCTCTGTTTTAGTTCTCCATTAAACATCAATCACCCCGCTTAGTTGAAGACTCCCTTTAAATTGGCCCTAGCGGGCCTTTGACATCGACCAAATTGAAATGCCGCCCTTCTAAGAACCCCAAAAGCCGCAGCAACTCCGTTGGTCTTAGACAAAAACGAGTTCAACGAACTCGCGGAACCATGGACCAAGGCCCGGGCCGGTGCTTGAAGGCAAGGTACCCCTTTCGGTCGTTGATCTCCCGTACCGAGCCGTGCTTCGCGGCCAGGCTGATGGCCTGGCTCGGCCAAAGGCGTTGCTTGGTGCTCAGTTTCACCATTGACACCACGTTTCCATGGAGGTCTCAAGAGAGTTTTCAGCTTTCAAAAAAAAAAAAAAACACCAACAACTCCTGTCCACTTCCAGGGCAGTTGGAAAAAGGGTACATGTCTCCGTCATACATCCTTCCAAGAGGAAGCTCATGGATCTTGCCTAATACTGGCTTTTCCAAACACTGACGCTTGAACTGGCGTTGGAGGGAAGTATGGGTGTGTCTTGTTTTAAGGGTATGCCCTTTTTGTAGTTTAAAGGGACATTGAGAGGAAACACACTTATTTTGTGGGGTCCCGTAAAAAAGACGAGCCACCCTTCGGAGACTGTTCAGAGCACACAGGCTGAACCCGCCGCGAAAAATCCGCTAGGGTGCAGCTGTTTTGGCAAGTGAACCAACCGCGGGCCACCGAAAGCCCAGCAAATTGCCAGGGATCCCTTGGAAAGTGCCAAACAAGAGTGCTAAAAAAGTGCTAACAAAGTGCAATCCAGTCGGGGCGTCTAACCTCATCCCAGGATGTGTTCGGAATCGGCAGAAATAAAATGGAACCCCTTCTCTCGGGTTGCATCCGTCCTCTATGTCGCTCGGCTGCAGAAACTGGGGCGCCAGTGCAAAGGCCCGATACCTCCGTGTCGAATCGCGAAACGCACACGTCCAGAACGAAAAACTAACCCCATGGGATGTTGCTTCTTCTTTGCAGCCAAAGAAACACCAAACATGAATACAGAACCCGCTCGCAGACGGAAAAGGCTTTAAACTTCAGGCGCTTCCACGAACCGAAGTGTTCGGTTGTAAGCTCTGAATGAAGCAAGGATCGAGGCGGCCCTGAAGTGGCCTGCTTGTCTGATATGCCACATGTTATCTGGGTGGTATTTGTCCCCCGCCATCCAAATAAGACAAAACACATGTTGCTCGTTAGTGAGAAAACGATGATTGCTCAAAGGACAAAAGGAAAAAGGTCACTACGGGCATGAGCTTTTTATGTGGACACGTTGGTGGACATCATGTCCATATTTCAGATTAATTACTCCCCATAAAACATCGCAACGACTTCATCTGGGCAAACTGGACATCAGGGAAGGCCCGCAGAGGAGCTTCATCCATCGCTACACGCCTTCCTGCCATGGCCCTCAGGCACGAAACTGGGGCAACCGTAGGTTGCCGTTCCGTTTTCGGCGGTAAAACTTGACTCTCCGTCCACTTGCCTGGAAGATCCTCTCTTCATGTTGAGGGCAAAAAGCAAACCGAAACCAGTGGAATCCATCTGCTTTCAAGCAGACTCCGAAAGGACACGCTTGAAGTCTGAGGTGAAGTGACACTTTCCTGAAAAGCAGATGGAACCTGAACATCTCCCTACTCACCTACAGTCACTTCAAGGGTTTGGGGACATGACCTTTTGGGTATCCTTTTGGATTCCACTGGCAAATTGGAGCAACCGGTCCAATTCATATTCAAGCAAACTGACCATCCAGGATGTAATGACACGGTCACGACCAGGCCATCTGGGCGATAAGCACTACTAAGCCACAAGGCTTTATAAGTTCAGCTTGGACTCCACAAGCAAGTCACAAACCGGTGGAAACGGATCAGTGGGGATGCGTGGAGCAGGGATGTGGAGAGAATCCCCCACAAAGGGCAGCAAATAGAACACGGAACCAGGAAAACCCACCATCCATGCTTTTCCCACGTCCAAATCGGTTCTGATTTTCAGGTCCCTTGAAGGATTTGAAGGGGCGCCCTTGACCAGGTGGCCTCTTTGCCTTCAAGGCCCTGGGGCCGTGGCTTCTTGGAAGAATCAAACCATCTGAGCCTCAGCTGCAAAAAATCATTTTTCTTCCAATCCGTGTCGAGCACAAGCTGTGCGCACCAAGTCGTTCCTTCATTTGCAGGCAAGTCCCATTCTGTTCTCCAACCCAATATGGAACCTGAAGCATTTCTCTGAAGTATTCGAACAAATGCTTTGAACATGTCGGGTTTCTTAGAAGGGTTCTAGGAACCTTCTGGGGGGTAAGGGGTCCTAATGCTTCTCTGGAATTTTCATCTTTAGTGGCGTATGACTTGGCAACCTACTTGCCACAAAGGGGCCAAACTACTTTCAACTTCGATCACACTGCGCGCTTCTTGAGCTTTGAACCTTTCCCTAAAGGCTGCCAACAAATGCCAACGAGACTACAGGAGTGGCCTGAGCCACCTAATTTGCGACCGGATCACACGCACCGTTTGTGGGGCCTTTCACGACAACTCACGTCCCAAATGAGCACGCCTAAGCTTTAATTAATCAATTCACCCGCCTTCGACTTACGTGTGTTGGATCGCCTTCAGCATCACCTCGAAAAAATGCAACATGTGAACACACATATATATATATATATATATATATATCACGGCGCACCAATCCGCTGGCTTGCGGTGCACATGCAACCCAACTCCTTCCATTGATCGGGATCAGGAGTTTACCTTTCGATCCCTTCAAGTGCCGTCCCCCACATTCGCCTGCAGTCAAAAGGTCAACAGGGTTGCCACACAATGTGCCGTTCATTACCCCATCAAAACAAACCTCAGAAAATGAAACGTCCGTCTTTCCACATATTGATACTTCCACCCACCCCCCCCTTCAAGGAAAGAAACCGACCCCCAGTGGCCACGAGAAAACATGAAACATGGGCAAACGTTTCTTTGGTGCTCTTAGTGGGAAATCGAGTTGGAGCCCCGTAAACCCCGCCCTCACGTCTTGCTCCGATTGAGCCCCGCGCTGCCCCACCGCCACGCTTTGAGGCTCGGCAAGCCCTTCCTTCGGAGCTGCCACCGCCAGCACAGGTGGGCCTCGGAGTCTGCGGCTCATGGATCTACAGGACCACAAAGAGGGTTGCCTATAGCTCCCCTGACAAACATGCCTCTTAAGGAAGTCACCCAAGACGACCCAACAATAATTGAAGCCAAAGAAGACATGGAGTGCTGGAGGATAAGCCCTTTTTAAGGCCTGATTAAGGGGATACGTGATAAGCCCCTGTAGCCGCCCTTGCAAGTCCACAGCTGGTACGCGTGTGGCTGAGGTACAGCTTTTGGGAGCGGACTGATATGGAAAGACCAGGCGACCAAAAGGACATGGTGAATAAGGGTGGTCAAAAACGCTGGGCTGGTCATGGTTCTCTTGATCAGTTGTCTAAGACCACCATGAAGCCGCTCGCCTTCCATGACCATCCCAACCTCAAGCCAATTCTTAAGGAGTATTTTGAGCAAGGCACGGCATGAAAGACCAATCAGCCAGGTAAGAGGTTGAAGTGGACCAAAAAACAAACATATTGATTCAAGGTCAAGACCAAAGCAAGGAGGCACCATGGAAGCTCCAGTGCAACGTACCTTGAAACCGCCAAACCCGCGGTGCATTCTGGATTCAACATGGCCGGCCCAAAGCTTGGTTCACAGCGGGTTTGCCAAAGGCTTGCGAGCTGTGTTCGTTTCTGAAACTGCTATGCGGTTTGGGCGGTCGACGTTATGGACCGCTTTAAAGGGACTTTCTTGAGTCGGATCCCACATGAAACCGAAACGATGTCTGACAGCCCCCCCCCATTTGTCTCCATCTTGTGCGCCGGCAAGCGAGCCACTACTCGCGTTGAGTGTCCCTAATCATTGAACACTCCCGTTCAAGATGCTCCCCGAAGGGAATGCATGGTTCTGGGCAAGTTACTACAATTTACAAACCGTACCCCGCCCGAGTCAAGGACCTTCACCATGGGTGAGCTTGCTTCGTTATAGTTTCTGCAGCTGATTCATCAGTGATTCTGGTGTGTCTTCAAACAGGCAATCCAACACAAATGCTACAAGTGCTTGGCTTCCTCTTCCCTTTCAAAGCCCAGAAAGTGTACACCACAAACAAAAACCACGCCAAGCGCGTACGTCCATGAACCCATGCTGGCTCACAAGCCATAAAGCCCTTCCTTGGTGCGGGGAAAGCAACATGGCACAGGTCGCCAAGGGGCTGCCGGCCGGCGAGAAGTTGGACTTGTGCCCCTTGAGCATCTTCCACTGCTGCTGAACCTGACAGCTGTTGGCTCAAACATCGAAATCCTCGGAATCGGCCCGAAATGAAGCTGGCAAAGGGAAAAGTAGACGACCTGCAGTGCTCGCCTATGTCCCCGCCTGGAGACAAAACAGAACTTAGAACATGTCAATGGCTGAGAAAACATGTAGGAAATCGGAACGTGGTCTGAACCAGTCTGGTTGTTGACATGTCCACTGGATGAGAATGTATCAGATCTACGTGTCAGAGGGTAGACCAAAGGATAAGGTCAAAGAAGGAATGAGGCCGGCCAGGAAGTTAAAACATTTAGGAAAAGACCTTGAGATGCTGCTGAAAAAAACCTTAGAAACTGTCAATGGATGAACAACAAATTGAAACAGAGCCCTTGTAAACATGAATCAGACGACATTCAGGACAAAAACTTGGGCTCATGCGGAAAAGCCATGTGTCCGAACAAAAAACTGGGCAAATCAATGATCATTCACCTTGCCAAAACGAGCGTCCTCTATTAAAGGACCTTGCTTGAATGAGGTCGCAAATAGCTGGAAGATATTTGGGTTCTATGCAAGAGGAATCCGAAACTGCTTTTGGGCTCACCATCTGGGCACAATCATCCCACCGGAAAAAGGGAAGACTCTTAAGACCCCTGGGGAGGGACGGTAATGGGGACTGCTCGTGTCACCGCCAATCTCGTCAGCTAAACGCGCAAACGAGGGTGATGTTCCTCCTGGCTTCCCTTGAAACTTGAAGGTTGGGAACCAACCCAAAAGCACAAGCCCAACGCCCCCGAAAGTAATCAAAGAACCTCCCAGCCCTCTTTCCTGGCTTTCAGGGAATGAGGGAATGATCGCCATCCCTTGTGGCATATGAAGCCCTTCCACTTCTCCCTGAAACTGAGGCTGGCCCCACGGCCCTGAACCCCCAAACGAGATGTTCTAGATTTCCCCAAAAATCAAAAAGTGGCGCCCATCTCCAAACCACCGGACATAGCCATGGAACCCCCAGATCCCGTGAGCCCCCCCCCCCCCCACGCCCCAAACGTCGCCTGCTGGCGCTGGCGCTTGAAGCTCCCCACCTCCCCGCCGTCGGTGCTGCTGGAGCTGCCGCTGCTCGTGCTGGAGCTACTGCCTCGAGACTCGGGGCGGTGAGTGAGGTGTCCGTTGCAAATTCTTCGCCTTCGTGAGGTTCTTGGCTTGTTCGTGGTTTGGTGGCGTGGTGGCTTGGTGGCTCGGTGGCTTGTTTGCGTGGGGTTTCTGGTTTTGATGATATTGCTTGGGGTCGTTCTTCCTGGGTTCTGGTTCTTTTTGTTGTATTCAAGAAATGGATATGCCGTTCTTTTGGTTGGAGGGTGTTTTTGTTCTTCTCTCGATTGAAGACAAGGCATGGCTGCTTTTCTTCTATCCTGGCATTTGTGGGTGGCTGGTTCTGTTGCTTGCATTGGTCCGCGTTGATTGTTTTTAGTTGTTGTCATGTTCTTCCTCTTGTCCTTTGAAAAGGCGAATTAATTTATTTTGTTGGTGTGGGGTCAACACTTGGGTATTTTGTTCTTTGGTTTCACTTCTCGCTGCCGCTCGAATGTGTGACCCTCCACCCCAAGCGACTATTGGCGAAACAAAACGGATGCTCGGGGCATCTCTTAGAAACCAACATGAACGAGCTTCTCTCTAATTCTAATTGTTGTTTGGATTGGCTTCGAGGTCAGGAAAGGGCTTCCCATTGACCCTCAACAAGAACCAGGGGTTAAAATCCCCAAACCATCAATCCAAACCGCCAATTGGGGGTACCGAGAAGTCATTTGGAGTACCTGATTTTCTACCCAGCGATTTGGAGCCAGAGCAAGGGTATCCATTGAAGGGAATCACACACGCAAGATGAGCCTTCGGGTCAACCCGAAAGGCCTTCTTCGACTGGTCAACCCAAAAGGCTTCTTTCAATCTCCCTGGCTTCCGAACTTGGACCTCAAGTTGCCGGCCCCGAACCCGAACCCGGGGCCCTGACTGGAAGACTGCGACTCGTCGGACTCTGCGCCGCGGCGACTGAGTCATGGGGAAACATGGGATCTTGGGATGCATTGATTCGAGCTTCAAGGCTTCTGTCTTCGCGATTCGTCCAGTCCCAAGTGAATACAGCACACACTGATTCAAAAATGACTCAAAACAACGGTTTTGGAAATCAAAGGGGGGAGAATCGCACCCATTTCTGTTTGGGACTGAAGCTTCAACTGCTCGTCAGCCACATGGCCGGACAGGCGTCGGCTGCGTCTCCGTGTTTCCGTTGGGACGCACCAACAGGCCCCATTGGGCTGAGCGCCCACAGGAAAGCTCTCTCTAAAAACGGGCAGAGTCCGGGTACTTAAGGCGCCTTGTTGTTTCATAATACAAAGCCAACCCAAAATGTTGAGTTTAGGGTTGTTTAAATAACGTGTGTATATGGTGTTGATTGCTCTCTGTATGTATGTGTGTATTACGTATGTATGTATGTATGTCTGTATGTATGTATGTATGTATGTATGTATGTATGTATGTATGTATGTATGCATGTGTGTGTGTATGTGTGTGTATGTGTGTGTATGTGTGTATGTGTGTATGTTTGTATGTGTGTATGTGTGTATGTGTGTATGTGTGTATGTGTGTATGTGTGTATGTGTGCATGTGTGTATGTGTGTGTGTATGTGTGTATGTGTGTATGTGTGTATGTGTGTATGTGTGTATGTGTGTATGTGTGTATGTGTGTATGTGTGTATGTGTGCATGTGTGTATGTGTGTATGTGTGTATGTGTGTATGTGTGTATGTGTGTATGTGTGTATGTGTGTATGTGTGTATGTGTGTATGTGTGTATGTGTGTATGTGTGTATGTGTGTATGTGTGTATGTGTGTATGTGTGCATGTGTGTATGTGAGTATGTGTGTATGTGAGTATGTGAGTATGTGTGTATGTGTGTCTGTGTGTGTGTATGTGTGTATGTGTGTATGTGTGTATGTTTGTATGTGTGTGTATGTGTGCATGTGTGTATGTGTGTATGTGTGTATGTGCGTATGTGTGTAGGTGTGTATGTGTGTACGTGTGTATGTGTGTATGTGCGTATGTGCGTATGTGTGTATGTGTCTGTGTGTATGTGTGTGTGTGTGTGTGTATGTGTATGTGTGTATGTGTGTATGTGTGTATGTGTGTGTATGTGTGTATGTGTGTATGTGTGTATGCGTGTATGTATGTATGTATGTATGATGTATGTATGTATGTATGTATGTGTGTATGTGTGTATGTGTGTATGTGTGTATGTGTGTATGTGTGTATGTGTGTATGTGTGTATGTGTGCATGTGTGTATGTGAGTATGTGTGTATGTGAGTATGTGAGTATGTGTGTATGTGTGTATGTGTGTATGTGTGTATGTGTGTATGTGTGTATGTATGTATGTCTGTATGTATGTATGATGTATGTATGTATGTATGTATGTATGTATGTATGTATGTATGTATGTATGTATGTATGTGTGTATATGTATTTACGTATGTATGTATGCATGTATGTATTTGTGTAAGTAATGTATGTAAGTAATGTATGTAAGGAATGTATGTAAGTAATGTGTGTAGGTAATTTATGTATGTATGTATGTATGTGTGTATATGTACTTACGTATGTATGTATGCATGTATGTATTTGTGTAAGTAATGTATGTAAGTAATGTATGTAAGCAATGTATGTAAGTAATGTGTGTAGGTAATGTATGTAAGCAATGTATGTAAGTAATGTGTGTAGGTAATTTATGTATGTATGTATGTATGTATTTATATGTATATGTATGTGTATGTGTATGTGTATATGTATATATATATATTATCAATGCGGTGTTGATTTACATACTGGATGAAACATAGATACTTACCAGCCATGCCCATGTTCAGTTTTCAGTGACGCTTCCTCCGCTGAAATCTATGCTCCTCACACACACACACCTTTGGGATGTGTCGTTTTTTGAGGGTACCCCTTCTTTGTGGGTTTAAACACACACACACACAAGGAAAACCCACAATTTTGGGGGCCCAAAAAACACCCAAATAGATTTGTCGCAAAATGGTGAACCCCTACAAATGAGCGATGTCATGTTGGCTGCCCCTGAAACCAAAAAAGGCACCAAGCCTCAACAAAAAGACACACCCAAGTCACCTCAAGCAAGGGTCCGAGCGGACCCCGAAAGCATGTCTGGTGATCCTGCTTGGGCTTTTCAAATGAAAGTCCAATTCGAAGACGAAAGCGCCCGAGGCTCCTAGGGATGGTGTCCAAAGGAATACTAAAGGACACCAAGCAGTTGGACAAAGGCAGACCAACCAACCAAATTTGAAAACAGAAACAATTGCTCGCAGCTCAGTACGTCGGCCGAGCCCAACTGAACTGACAACCGACCCGACCATCCCATCCTACCCTATCTACCCAACCGACCCATCCGACAAAACCGACCCAACCAACCCGGCTGGGGCCCAACCATCTGCGCCCTTCCACTTTGCCGAGGCTCAGCAAGTGGCGCAGGCGCCACGCACGTTTCTTGCGCTTCCTGCGGTTTTGCTTCTCCTCAGCTGGAACAGGGAGGGCCTGCGAATGAAAGGTTGGCCCCACCCTAATATGGGCTTCCTGAACCCCAAAACGCCGCTCGCGTATCCCGTCAAAAGCCTGTCCTCCCTCGTTTTCAGATATTCGAATGGCTGAAATTGCCCTCAATTGTTTCAGAGCAATTATCGGTTTTAGTTGCCAACGATCCCAAGAGGATTTCCACACTTTGCTGGGCTGTAATGTTAACCGGATTGATTCACCGATTGATTTGTCCGGACAAGGTCTCCCCTGGAAGGAAGGTATAAGCAATTTGAATCAATCACTGGGAGAGTTGTTGGTGAGAACATTGTGGGGGGGGGGACACCCCATGCTCAAATACGCTGATCAAAACTCCTTCTCCTGGCTCCCGCTGATTCCGGGTAACGACTAGAAGGGTGGCCTTGCAAGTGCAAGCCCCCCCCCCCCCTCGACGGCCCGTTTTCACCCAGTCCCCCACGCCCTGAAGGAGGTCGTTCGATTTGTTCAGAGGGCCCCATGCCATTTCAGGAGCTGTGTTGGTGTTGCCTTTTTTTGCGGCATGCGCAGATTTTCGGTGAAAGGCTCTAGTTGTTGAAGCCGATTTGGGGCAACTCTGGAACACCCCCTACATCCCCGACTAAACGTCACACCTATTGACTCTGACCCATATTTGCTGAAAATTGATCTCAAAAGAGGTGCCCAAAACAGCAACTCGACACATTGCCACCTTCTTAGCTCAGACCGCGGCGCCCGTTTCGCCCACCTTTGGCCCAAGCCGCTTCGATGATTCCTCGGCTACCCAACTGCTCCTGATGCAATCGTTCTGCTTCGGAGTCAGTCGTCCACTCAGAGGAGATCGACTCACACCCAATCCTCAGATCGATGAGCAGCTTGCATCTGCTACAACTCCACGTCGCGGTCGGACACCATGGCCCCCGGCGCTGCCAGTGACCACCAACAGGTGACCACAGGGGATTCACAATTTGAACACTGGAACAACAACTGCACTGCTTGCCTGCCGCAAGGGTAGCTGGGAGCCTCCTGGCCACCCAAAGAGAGACTGAAAGAAGAACACTGGGCCATGCTGACTTGAAGACTTATCACAAGCCGGGTCCCGACCAAAAAGCATTCATAGATCCTTGGAGAACATAGACTTCCCAGTGTCACGCTTCATACGATGACTTGCATCAAGGGGCAAATCCTCAGAATTGAATCGAGCTCCTTTCTCCACAAACATATTCTACCACACAAAAAACGCTACAGCGGGTTAGTTGATGCCACGTTTCCCATCAAGTATCCAGGAAATCTCATCAGCATCTGACTGAACATGCATCATGTGCCATTGACAATCCTCGACCTGGAGTGAATTCGGGGCTTTGAAGCCCCTGATCAAAAGCGTTCATCTTGGTGGTGTGGACGTAAATGCCCCCGTGCGGACCAGTTCCCAGGAAACGCTCCCTTGAAACATCTCACCTCAATGAACAAAACAAAAAATCCCCGAGGACCTGCGCAAGGCTAAGCTTCTCGACGCCCCCCCGGAAAATGGGATCAAAAATGGAAACTGGGCCAGGTCCATTGAGCTGAAGGCTTCCAATTCCCATGGATCTTTCTGAATGCCCAACCTGAATGGATCACCTCAAAGACCCCCCAGCACCCAGGAAAGGCTTGGAAGCTGTTCAGAAGGTGTTTCTGAGAGACAGCTCCAAGGGGCTCGAGATCTGTGTTCCTGAGGAGGAACACCTTCTCTGTGTCCCCGCTTCGCACAAGGAACTCCCCTTGTGCCATGCCGGCTCCTAACTCTCAAAATCTGATCGCAAGCGCCCTTGCGGCAAAATGTTGCGGTTGACTTGTTTGACTTGTTTGCAAGTTGTTCCTGCAGCTGGTCCATGAGCCGATGAGAACCCAGCAAGTTAAACCTGTAGCATTCATAGCCTAGAGCTCTGTTGATCCTGCGAATGTAAGAAAGCGCTGCGCCCCTTGGAAAATCGTCTCATTTCGCACCCAACTTGGCATCGGGGCCACAAAGCTGCGCGAAATGAAAGCACTCAGCCACTCACCAATGTTTGTGCTCAGGGGCGTGTTCTCCACGCTGCTTGCAAACGCAACCATTCAAAAAGTCTTGGCCACTTTGGCCGCAATCAAACGATGGCAACCCAAACTCACAAATACCCAGTGAAACTTTATGCTGGCGGCTTCTCACACCAACCCTTTCACTCCTCGACGTTTTAGGGGTGAAGTGTCTGGAAACGGCAGCAACGTATCAATATGGGCCCCGAATTGCCTCCATTTGCTTAAGTCCCCAGGAGAAAATGAGAACATATTTCCAGTAGTGATAGATTCCCTGTAAAACCAACAAGGGACAATCTGTCGGGTGTTGAGTGCTTGCTTGCCCCACTCGCTCCGCGCGCCTTGCGGCCCTCATCCTCGGCCGAGGGCTGCTGCACAACTGCAGCTGCCGCCGGACCTGAGAAATACGCGAATAGAGTGCGCTTCTCATCTTGGCTCAAAGGGACATGCTTGTTTTTGCGCAGGTTGGGACTTTTTGGCCCCGCAATTGCTGGGGCTGTCCGCCCCGGCCATACACACACACCCAGCAGCTCAGCAGGTGTCGGGGGTTGGTGCGCTTGAAGACCTGTTCAAAGCCAACGTGTTCAACAGAGCGGTGACACCGTTCTCTCAAAGGGATCCGTGTGAGAAAGTGACGGCAACTGTCGGGGAATACTTTGCCCTTTTTCCTACAACCATACGCACGGCCTTCAATCAGCAAACCGCCGGCCGATAAAGTCAAGGCCCCCAGGTGTCCTTTTGGAAAACTAGGGTCAATATAAAGGGAACCAAACTCAACTCTGTAGAATCCATGTACTCAGCTAAACTCACCCAAAACGGACACCTATGTGAGGGTTGAAGCTGGCCGTTTTCCGCCCTGCTCGCAGCCTTCCCCTCATCCAAATCATGTTGTAGGGTCAGTTCCCCTAAAGCTACGAGCAACCATGCCGAATCTGCCTGCAAATTCCGGCTTTTAAGAGTCCAAGTGAAAGCCAGAAACCGACGGATCTGTTTAACACCAAAAAACGGAAAACACACAACTGCCACGGGAAAAATGCCCACCAACAAACTCAGGGGGCACTTTTTGTTGCCCTTGGAACCCACCAAATGTCCACCCTCCGCTCCCGCGCCTTGCGCCTTCTTCGACTCCTGGAATCCGAGTCCCCATTGCGAGACAGTGGGGTCATTGCGTGACGCAACCCTCGCGCACAAATCTGAACGACTGATTTGAGACTTTCGAGTGTGAGGTCATGCCGCTCTGCGACGGTTTGAGCTGCCGGATTCCTGCAGCCCCAGGAGTCAGAATTTAGCGCGGGGCCTGTGTTCACTCAGCTCTGAGTGTCTGTTTGGGGCGAGAAATTAGGGGAATGTGTCCCATGGTTTTCTTTGCAGCTGGCGTGTGGCTTTTGCCAAGAGACAAAAGCATACCTTTCGGCCCCCAAAACTCACGCCCCGTTTTCAGCTCCAGTTGCCCTCCCTCCAACAATCATGGAAGCTGATCTACTACTTTCCTTTTGGGGAAGCCCTCTGTCCACTTCCATGATTGCACGAAGGGCACCTCATACTTGCCCTCAACCCAAACTCCAGCCGAGTGCTCCTCGATCATGCCGCTGGCACCCAGCGGCTCATCGTCCGCATGCTCGTCGAAAAGGCCTGCGAGCGGTTTTCTCGAAGCCAGGCTGTGGAATCAAAGCTTGACGCAAAAGCCAAAGGAAAACACCGGAAAGCCGAACGAACCAACAACCCATCAGCCTTTGCACGGAATTGTCGTTTGAATTTGCATGAATTGGCCAGTGCCTCCAAAAGCCATCTTCGTCCATCTTTGCATTCTGACCCAGAGGAATCCACGGGGGCCCACCAACGTTGCACCGGCTGGCGTTGGGAGTTCTTATTAATCTCATGAACATGTGAGTGTCGACCTGTATTCGGGGGCGCCAAAATAAGAGCTTTTGAATGAAGATGTCAAACCTTACCAAATGCGGCAGCAGGCTCTAGGTTTGGGTTCCCTGGCAAGAATTTGTGGAACTGCTCCACCGACAGGCAAGATTCAGATGACCAGGGCCCTCAGGTGACTTCATACCCTATACAATGGAAGCTGAAAGGTTTTGAAAGAGTCAGCTTTCCTTTTGGAAGCCACGAAAAGTCCATGGAAGTGTCTCAAAATTGGGGACCTTTAACAACAATAAAGGTTTTCCCTGTGATTTCCCTTTTCAGCCCTAAACAAGGGTATCGTCAAACAAAAGACCCTTTTCCAACAAGGGCAACCACCGAAAAGGGCAACCACACCCGGTCGCGTTCTAGCCTGCCAGCTTGGTCTTCCGTGCTCCCGGCACGACGATCTCCTCACGCCGGCCGCATCTGTTGCAAAGTGCGTTGGGTTGGCATCCGTATTCTAAAAGAAAGAAAACAAAGGAAAAGAAAATAACAGAAGAACGAAAGAAAGAAAGAAAGAAAGAAACAAAGCAAACACAGAAAAGAAAGCAAGAACGAAAGGAATGGAAAATACAAGAACAAATAGAATAGAAAGGAAAATAAAAGAAACAAACACATAAATGAATAAGAAAGTAAATAAATAAATACATAAGTAAGTAAATAAAGAACAACTTGCATTGGGTTGGGTTATATACTTGCTTTAGTAGGAAAACAACCTGCTTTCGCTTCTTTATTGGGAAGCCTCCATGCCCTCCGAGCCTCTCAAAAGGAATCTGACACAGGAGATAGGTGACCGTTTGGAAAAATCGATGGCCCTGGTAAATGGAATAAAACCCATCTACACCAGTGGAACCTATCTATGATTCCCAAGTTGTGGATGAACTTCGCTCATAGCACTGCAAAGCCATGACGTTGTGAGCAACCTGCTTGGGCTCCAAAAGTGGGGAAATGGCCATAGACAGGTGGGCGGTTTTTTCACCCCCGCCCCCCCCCCCCCCCCAACCAAAAAAAACTGGTAAATAAATAAACGTCACACTAAAACATGGGGGTCAAATACATCTCCTTGAACAAATTGCATAAGCTAAAGCCAAACAACTAGGCCCGTGAAAACAAAAGGATTACTTTCCGTGGATTGGCATTTGATTGGGAGGGAAGGAAGCCAAAATGACAGTTGTTTAAAGCCAGTTAAATCAGACCAATTCATTGGTTTGCTTGTTGAAAATATGTCGTCCTCCCAAAAAAGCAAACCAAACAAACGATGTCTGTAATATGGGGTGTCCGCGTTAAAGAAAACAATGAAGTCAACCAACCACCTCACCAAGGTCTCAAGAGCGGCTTCTTCTCCTCTGGATCTGACGATCTCCATCGGTCCGGCCTGAAGCCAAGGCCACATGTTGAAAAATATGTTCATTCTCCCACCATCGAAGTGCACCTTCGGCGCCAGACTACAGGGAATGCCAGTTGCCCGTAGGCAAACCAAAAGAAACCACCGATTAGAGTGGTTGGTCACCTGGTAAGTGGGATCCACTGGCATTGGAAAGGGTTCTCGCTCAGAGTGAGGGTGTCAACCAACACGTCGCAAGTAACCTTTGCAACGGGATTCCAACGCCCCCCCCCAAACGAAAACGAAGAAGAAGAAGAAGAAGAAGAAGAAGAAGAAGAAGAAGAAGAAGAAGAACTGAACCGCGCTTTCGGGCAGCACGTGCTTAGAGTTCAGTGATGTTGATGTTCTGGGGCGAGTTAGAGTGCTAGTTGTCTGCGAATATAATATTAATTTGTTGACAGCGACTTCATAAACTATATTTAATACTTCACCGAGGTCAATATGTGTCTGCTTGTCTTTGAAGCGGGTGCACCATTTTGAGATACTGTTGGCCAAACTCATGCAGTTTGTGGCTGGTTTATCCCGGCTTTCACGTGGCAAATCCATCCCAGTTCATCCACAGCACCATCAGGGTGTCTCTTAAAAAATAGGGGTGCCCCCAAAATAAATGGCTTTCCCTTTGGCTTCCGTTTAAAATCAACCCAAACGGGGCTGCCCCAACCAAAAGCAACACGCATCCCACTCGAACCCAATCAACGCCAAGGTCGCGGCTCCTTGCGCGGCGGCCAATCACCGCCGCGGCTGGGAGGCAGGAAGGCCAAGTCAGATGGCCCTCGCATCGACACCCGTGGCCGATGCGCCGAATGGGTCTGTCTCTCTTTTTGAGAAGGACAACTAAAAGGAGGAGAACCACAAATTTATATATTTTAAACAAAGGCCACAACCAAAATAGCACACCCACTTTGTATGTGTATGGTTTTAAAGGGACCCTTGGTTGCTAGCAGAAGCTGAGGGCTGAATCCAGAGCGTGCTATGTGAACAGCTCCCTGCCGCAGGGATCTTGTGATATATCGAATGCCTATTGAATCGGTTCTGGAAAAAGCTTTTGTTTTTTTGGATTCAGAAACCGGGGCTACCCCAACGTGTCACCCACTTTGAGCCCACACCGACCAAATGGGCGCGCTGAAAAAATATGGAACTGCCCAAATTGGTGGCTTCAAGGCGTTCCAAAAGCGTCAATGAACCCGAGGCATCCCCATTCAAAAAGGTCCAGACTCTGCTCCGGCCTTCGTCCGCGGGCACGGAAGGAGGCAAGGAGGGCGCTGAAACCCCCACCCTGTCCTCCGTCTCCTGCTGCACGCAAAAAAGGAGAAACTGCCCATCTGTCAAATGCCTTGTTGTGTGTCCCAAGTATCTCGTTCGGTGTTTCACCCCGCAGTTTTAAGCAGGGCCTGTTCCACCCGCCACAAGGGAACCGGGTACAGGAAAGAAGGTAAAGCTTAGGAAGACCCAAAACCACTGCCGAAGCGCCTCTTGCTCTCGCGCAATCCCACACCGCAATTCCTTGAGACATGTGGGGGTCAGAAATAACATCTGCCCAGGATATTCAAAGATGTGACAAATGACTCTCCATGGGGTGATCAATCTGAGCGCTCCAGTGTGCGTGAACCAATCTGGTAAGTCGAACCAAATCCAAAACCAGAAACTGGCTCAAGCAAAGGAGATTCATCATGAGCTCGTGTTATTTGCGGGGAAGCTTGCAAAACAATCCCAATCCTCTTTGGTTCTTGTCAGGAAACTGTACGCAGAAACCCTCCCCGCCTTCTTCTTAAAGAACTTGCGCATGGCCTCTTTCCATGTGCTGCCCACGCTTGAGCCAACTCGATCGTTTTTGGAGCTCAAGCGTTTTGGAGCACGGCTTGGAACCAGCGGCCCAATCTGTCCGGCATCTTGAGGATGAGTCGGAATCCAATCCGCAAACTTCAGCCCTGCTCGCCCCTTTTGGCGGTTGCTCACAGGCTCGCCGGCGGCTCTTTTTGTCTATTTCCACGCTCTGAATTCAGCAACGCAATTGTGCAGCTCTGACCGCTGAGTTGGCCCTGCGGAACCAGTGAAGACGCGGTGGCGCTGGAGCAAAAAAACAAAACTGTACCAACCTGCGCCAACTCAGCTGAAAACGGGCAACCTGATCCCGGCGCTCTCTTCGAGTTTGCCGTGGGATTGACCCAAGGCCGACCATGGGGGGCTGGAGGCCTAACCTGCAGAATGGGGCAAACTTCCAAGATCCTACAAACATCATCCAAATATACCAAATACATCATGCTTTTTCCAATTGAGGGGGGATCTCGGGAAATCCCCTTGTCCAAAGACCCTGGCACAAAAGCTGAAAATGAGTCCCTCGGGGAAAGCGAAAAAGGACACCAATCCACCTATTGTCTAGCTTTGCTTTCATTTGGTCATCCTTTACGGGCCTGAAATCGGCGCACACCCCCCGGGGCACCCGTGCAGGCTCTCCTGGCCCCCGAAACGCTGAAGCCTTGTTCGCGCCCTCGAGGCATCACGGCAGGCCATTGCCGCCCTCGAGCCGTTTCTCAGGCTCAGAGGAAGTGAAACAACGCCGCCGGTGCCGTCGCGGGCGGAATGAAAATGAGAGAAGAACGGACCAAGCTGCATCTGAAGTTGGCGACAGGAACTGAAGCGAGTGTGAATCCGCAAATGCGAAGGGCAAACACATGTTCTTTAGGGCGAGTCCAAATAGTTGCCCACGAGGGCTCTGTGTGCTCTCTGAACTGTCTCGTCAAAAGCTGCCTTCCTTGCAAGTTCCATCGCGGTCACGTCCGTTCAGATGGCCGCACTGATCGATGCGTCTGGAAAAGCTGCCAACCTTTCGGAAAATGGGAAAGCGGCGCGGTGTGTCTGGTTGCTTCTTTCTTGGTGGCCGTTTGCGATTGCGGTTGCGGCTTTTCCAAACCTCCCTCCCTGGAAACTTATTTGGTGACACTCCCTCTGCCAAACGGCAGGCTTTGTGCGGCGCGGCGAGAAGAATTTGGCGCCTCCTACTTTGGCTGAGGCAAGCATCTGCAAGTCCATCATGGATTGATCCCAGCAGGCTAGCGTCATGTACCCAATGTACAAATCCCACCGGAGGTTAGGCAAGGACTTTTAAATCTTGGGTTATCCAAAGCTCATAGCATCCAACATCGAGTTTCCTCAACCTCCATGGGCATCGTCTATTGGCTTTTGAATGCATAGCATCAACTTCTTCCATGTCGCAATCACCAGGACCCAGACATGCCCACCAGCCCTAACATCAGGGCGAACCGAACCGCCCACATCAGCGATCGCTTCGCTCGCCCAGTCGCGAGAAGGATTTCCCCTTTGACCAGTCCAAGGCTGCCGGCGCTGCGAATCGAGCACGATGCTTAGACCGGTCTGGCAACATGTTGGCTCTCGCGCGAAGCATTTCCAGCATCGTTCTCTCAGGATTGTTTTGTCTTCATAGCCACCCGTGCTCTACGGGGGGTCTAGGGCTTGCACCATACGGGTGCATATGGGTGCGTCTTTGCGGAGCTTACCCTTGTGATGTTTTTGTTGAAAGGCAAGCCAAAATGGAAACCACCCATGTCATTTGACACCCCTCTCCTCTCTCTGCCTGCCATGGCCATCCCCTCAGGAACCCTCAAACTGGGTGTGTCACAATTCCGGGTCAAGAGTTGACCTCGATAAATAACATATACTTTGACTGCAAAGGATGAATTCACGGGCCCTGGATTCATTAAACCAGACGGATGAAAGGCAGGGGTGTCCCCTCCCCCCCCCCCCCCAACCCAATAAAAAGAACAAGAGGGCCAAGTGAAGTAATTTTTATCTAAGGTAGGTTGTCCGGCTGAAATGTGCCAGGAAGCCTGGGCCAGTAGAGAGTTGTCGTTGCATTCGAGCCATTAGAAGGGTTGGGCACGGCATGCGGTAGCTCTAGAATTGAAACGTTCCTGATCCGGCTTCAGAGTTTCTCAACCCAGTCACTCTGATTGAACGAGGGAGCCCTTTTGGGGGTCCCTCAATGAGAAAACACGTGACCCTGAACTGGGCGAAATCCCCAAGAAAGCGACACGCGGTACACGCCTATGCCGGGCCGAGCTGGAATTTGTTCGGCTGTCGGGTTCCTGAAACTTCCCATCTGCGTTGCGCAGCGGTTCTCCGAACTCAATTGAGGGCGCTCGTACGTCGCGGCGCACTGGGAGATGTAGGGCACTCCTGCCGCATGGATATACCAAAAAATGCAGCCAGCCGACTGTCCGATTGAACGCTCAAGACAAAGAATGGCGCAATGTATCACATGGATACCAATTCGAGCTGGGGCTGTCTAAGGGAAAGCTCAAGACAAAGAATGACGCAATGTATCATATGGATACGAATTCGGGCTGGGCTCCTTTGGTGGACATCATTTGGTGTTGTAGTTTGCTTGTCATTCATACCCCACACAGCCATAGTGGCCAGTCCTCACCCCATGCCAAAGTCAGCTTCCCCCTAGTTTGGTGGTTTGGAGCTGAATCGGTGGTTTGGAGGTGCTCCGGGGCAGTGTCCCATTCTCTACCAAGAACCAGTTCAAATACACAACCAATCCAACCCACTTGATCACCCCAAGAAAAACCATCCCCTATGGTTTCCTTTTGAGGGAATCTCGGTTCATGCTCAAACCCTGGGCAGTTCCCTTCTGAGCACCAGCAAGACCAACAGCTTGGTCTCTGGCCTTTACCTTTCTGGCAGGCTGCACCCGCCGGCGCTGCACACGCCGATGCCATTCTTTGGCAGCACCGCCGTGTTGAGCTTGACCTATGTGCTAAGCCCAAGTAGCCAGTTGCTTTGTCACAAATCCAGGAACTCCTCAAATACGGCAATCCCTTAACATCGGGGAATTCTTGGCAAAGTTCAGACTGGGTACAAAAAACAAATACACCAGCATAGACCCCAGATAGCACACCACGGATACGAACCATGACGCAGCATTATCATGATGATGTAGACCATGATGACACCACAGCCACGAAACAAACGCGCAGACAACGTCCTAAGGAGATCAGCAAGCAGCATAATGATGATTTTGAGAGCAATCCGGCAGGAAAAAGCAAACCGAGGTCCTGATGAGTTCGACAGCATCATGATGATGCGGACAGCATCATGATGATGCGGACAGCATCATGGTGATGCGAACAGCATCATGCTGATGGTAAAGGCAGCATCATGATGATACCACAGCCACGAACCATCTTGCGACAGCTTAATGAAATTCTGCATCATCCTGATGTTGACAGCATCACGGCGCCACTACACCCACACACCATAACGTGGGAACATCATGACGATACACCAGCCAAACTGCATGCCCCCTAGAACCGGCCGTCAAGCTCGCAAAACAGCATCCACCAGCACCTCAAACTGCATGCCCCCTAGCACCCGGCCAGCTCGCAAAACAGCATTCACCAGCAGCCCAAACTGCATGCCCCCCAGCACCCGGCCGTCAAGCTCGCAAAACAGCATCCACCAGCACCCCAAATTGCATGCCACTAGCACCCGGCCAGCTCGAAAAACAAAACTGCATCCACCAGCACCCCAAACTGCATGCCCCCAGCACCCAGCCGTCAAGCTCGCAAAACAGCATCCACCAGCACCCGAAACTGCATGCCCCCGAGCACCCGGCCGTCAAGCTCGCCGGCCAGCTCGCAAACCAGCAGCCCCCCACCCGGCCGTCAAGCTCGCAAAGCAGCATCTACCAGCACCCCAAACTGCATGCCCCGTAGCACCCGCAAAGCAGCACCCACCAGCACCCCCAACTGCATAGCACCCGGCCGTCAAGCTTGCAAAACAGCCACCAGCACCCCAAACTGCATGCCCCCTAGCACCCGGTCGTAAAGCTCGCAAAGCAGCACCTACCAGCACCCCAAACTACATGCCCCCTAGCACCCGGCCGTCAAGCTCGCAAAGCAGCACCCACCAGCACCCCAAACTGCATGCCCCCTAGCACCCGGGCGTCAAGCTCGCAAAGCAGCATCCACCAGCACCCCAAACTGCATGCCCCCCAGGCCCCCAGCACCCGGCCGTCAAGCTCGCAAAGCAGCATCCACCAGCACCCCACAGTGCATGCCCTCTAGCACCCGGCCGTCAAGCTCGCAAAGCAGCACCCACCAGCACCCCAAACTGCATGCCCCCCAGCACCCGGCCGTCAAGCTCGCAAAGCAGCACCCACCAGCACCCCAAACCGCATGCCCCCTAGCACCCGGCCGTCAAGCTCGCAAAGCAGCACCCACCAGCACCCCAAACTGCATGCCCCCTAGCAGCCGGCCGTCAAGCTCGCAAAGCAGCATCCACCAGCACCTCAAACTGCATGCCCCCGAGCACCCGGCCGTCAAGCTCGCAAAGCAGCATCCACCAGCACCTCAAACTGCATGCCCCCTAGCACCCGGCCGTCAAGCTCGCAAAGCAGCATCCACCAGCACCTCAAACTGCATGCCCCCTAGCACCCGGCCCTCAATCTCGCAAATCACTTTCCCCTCTTTATTAGAAGTTAGAACCCCTATAGCTTTCAGCTATCTGGGGAACTAGTTTGGGGGTACCGGGTACTTCAAGCTGGTCGGTTGACCCATTGAAAATGTCTTCTCGAAAAGGTCTGGCGGTTTCTGTCGAAAAGCGCAAGCCCAACAAAAAGCCGAACGGAAGGCTTCCCCGGAAAGCAACCGAGCCCCGCGCTCGCCCCATCTCCTCCAGGCTTCCGAGCCCGGGCGCCTCCGGACATGCGAAACCCAGAGCTTTGCCCGGGGCTCAAGCGCAAAGACCGTCTGTGACTTTCCAAAGAACCGCAGGGGTTGCTTGGGTGGTGTAGGTGTAGATTCATCGCCTTCCAACATACCAAAGTTGCCATGACCCGACGTTGCACAAAACGTCCGGTTGGCGCCTCCAATGCGGCTCCTGGGCGGGCAAATGCTAGCCCGAAAGCCTGTTGAGCGGGGTGATGCTAGGCCTGACGTGTCGCATTGGCTGCAAACCTTCAGACACGGGAATGGGAATACTACAGCATGTAATCCCGAACTTGTGGAAACCACTGCAAAAGGCGGCACCTTTCTGAACCCGCGGCCAGGAAGCACAGCCTTTGAAAAAAGAATCACACCCACTTTTACCAGTCATTCTGCTTCCCTTAGATTCACGGGGTCCGGTGCCCTTCCCCCCCACCCCACCAAGACCCCCGCTTCTCGCCCCAAAGCCGGCAGCCGGCGACGGCTTCAAGCCGCCGAAGCCGCCGCCGAAGCCGCTGCCGAGGCCACCGCCGAGGCCGCCAGGCAGCCCACCGAAGCCGGGCGCCACGCTGGGGGACGCCCCCGTCTCGAAGGACGGGCGCAGCCCACCTCGAATAACAAGAGCGCCGCACGTCGGAGAGGTGTCCTTGATTTTTCTGGTCCTTTTTGCGATCTCTTGACTTAATTACAAGCCTGGATTCTAGATCTTGCCAAGGAACTTCTGGGCATGTTTTTTTCTACAGTCGATAAATTCCCAGGTCCTCTCACTTCCTGAGAAAACCGTTTGAGGGAGTGAGGAATCGCTCAGCCCCCTTCCGAGGCGCCGAAGGCCGGCATGGGTGCCACGCTGGGACCCGGACCTGCGGCTCGGACCCGGACTTGAGAATCCCGTGCAAGACCCTCAGGCCTTGGTTTCCTAAGCTGATTTGCGGCTATCATCGCAGACTCTTCAAGCGAAACGGTGTCTCCACTCAAGGGGACCAGCGGGTCACTTTTCGGGGTCTCGGTTTTGCCAGTCCAGTCAAACAGCACCCAAGACCCCCCGAAGAAGCTGCCGCTTGTGTCCAGCTTCTCTTGAAACGCCTAGTCCTATTCGACAGCGACTGCTCTCCGAACAAGCGGAGTGAGAAGGCGCCCTTCAGCTGAACTGGGTCCGTGAAAAAGCGAGCCCAAGGCCCAGTTTGAGTGCCCCCAAAAAAGCACAGCAATGGTAAAGGCTTGAACTGAAGTGAGTGGGGCTCGGAGCCTTTGTGTGGGTATGGCTATATCAGTATATGTTTCGATGTCCAAGCTGTTCTGCTACAGATTTTGGCGAAGCGGGTTTGCGAGTTGGCATTTCCAGAGAGGGTCAGTTGGCTTTCACGAAGCCGTGTAGTGAAAAAGATACGGGATGGGTTCAAGCGACGGCACGCCATGTTGACTGCTTTCACGAAGCCATGTCTCCTTCCAATGTTGGCTGCTTTGCGTGCTCGACACTTTGCTCGCTGTTCCGTGTGGTCTGGACACTGCGAAGCTATGCAGCTGTCGGTAACAAGCACGAACGCGGTTGGGGTATGAAGTGCTAAATCACCTCAACCCATTGTGCCAGTGATTACCAGTAAGTGAGAGATCAGGAAAAGGCGAATCTGGAGAGTTGCGTGGCCAATGTTTGGCAACATGTACAACATAAGGGGTTCAATGAGTTCTTCTCCTATGATCATGACTTAAATAGGCTTTTAAGTACACCACAACGCTATGCTCACTATCCGGGCCCTTATTTATCTTGAAACTGTGTACGCACGCAAACTCAAGTGCAACAGCGGGCGCTGCACGTTCTTTCCAGGGTGTGAGGGAAGGCTTGGTGGCGGCTTCAGAATGGGCAAGCAAAACTCTCCATGCTTGCTGAAGGCACCATGCTTGCCATAATCAAGATTTGGAAGGCCCCCACCTCACGAAAGTTACCTCGGATTGATCAACCTGCTTTTATCGATCCCTCAATGGACACCCCCCCTATCAAAGGCTGTCTTAGTCCAGGGTGCCCCACTCACCTCGCCTCTGAGATCTTCAAGTCTCGCACTGCCCAGCCCGCCAGAGGCGCCTGGCACACAGACAAACCCAACTCCATGCGTAGCATGCCCCCGCTTTAGGATTGCGGGAAAACAAAGCCGAGGAAAGCCAGCATTCGAGGTGAAAAGTTCGAATTTTGAGGAAACTATGTCCTGGTCGATGCATCCGCGGGTTCGAAAGGAAAGGCATCCCCCAATAAAACGCCCCCTGTCGCTGATTCATCTGTGTTCCGTTCTTTTTAAATGCTACATGCAGGGATCTACCGCGGAACACCGTGGCAAATTGATCCCACAACAACATGGGGTAAGTGCATGGCTCCCCTAAATGCTCTGATTGAAAATCTCCCCACCCGGAAACTCACTTGAAATGTCCCCTTAAAGGTGCTCGTTGAACCATCCATACAGAGGAAATGTAGGTATGTCAAAATAGGAGGACTCCCAAGAATGATGGTTTTGCTTTGGGTGTCCCTTGAAACCAGCCTGAAAAAGGCGCCCGTTGACTGCCGAATGGCGAAAACTCACACACACACACACACACAAGCCGCCCCGTTTCTTGGGCGCTGTCTTGTGGTTTTCTGTTCGCGCCTAGGCCTGGTGCAGGCGATGACTTCAGCAGCTGCTTTGCCTGCTCGACATACCTCTCCTGGCGGAGGTGAGCGTCGAGGTATGGGGGTCGAACCTTTATGCAATGAAAGGGACCAGCCAAACTGACCGCGCCAAGCTGACCAATGACCCCAAGTTGGTGCTGGTTGCGGACCCAGGAGTGAGCTGGTGTTTGAGCCTTTGCCTGAAGCTGAAGGGGCTGGTTGATGGTGAGCAACGGGTTCCTTTCAGGCAATCAGGTCAGGGTTCTTCATGCAACCAAGCTGCTTTCGGTCAGGACTTTTTCCCACACACACACACACCATTGAAGTTGGACAAAAACCCTTTGTAGAGCTTCCTGTGTCTCCCTCTCAAGCACACACGAAAAATTGTTCAAAACTTGAAAACGGCGCACAGATTCAAACTGAGGGATGCCCCTGAATGGTTGGTTCCAATTTGGCCCTCTAAAACGACCGGGTACCAACTGACCGACTTCTTGGACCCACCTGGCTGTGAGGCAGGGGCTTGAAACTTAGGGCCAGATTTGGGGAGCCCTTTGCACGTTGAAACCTCCAACCTCCTCTTGGGAAGAAGACCATTGGTTTGGTCCAAACCCCGGTGACTCAAGTCGAGTTGCTCCACTTTCCCACGCCCAGCTTCCCAGAACCTTCCCGACTCCGGAGTCGCCCTTGGCGCCCCTTGGCGCCTGCTCTGCATGGAAGGCCTCCATGTCCTGCAGGTATTGGCTCGCATCCTTCTCCATCATCGGCCTGATCTCATGCCGATCGGCGGAAAACTTCCGCTTGCCCCCCATAGAGGATGGATAAAGGCAACCCGCATCGTGCCGAAATCTTGAGAATCCAACCGCTAAACAGGTTGGAGAAACAGGTTGGAGAGTTGGCCTGTTCAGGGCTACTGCGGTTCCAACCGTGACGGCAACAAGTCTCTCAGCGGATTCCCGTGGATACCAATAGAATGCATAGTGAGCCTGAACTGTGGACAGTGTTGAGTAGAGAAAGCTCCCTTTGCTGCCATTTGCAGAAAGGTGCCACGAAAACAAAATCCCGTCAACCAAATGTCCAACCCAACAGGGTTGGGCAACATTTGCTGAAGCACTTCAAGGGAACTCCCATGGAGGTCGTTCAAACAATGGTCTCAAGATGTTAACTTCGGCTCAATGCGGACCACGGGAACTGGTCTATGTTAGCAAAGTCCTCTGATTAGTGACGTCCAATACTTCCGAAACACCTGCCACAAGAATTTGATCCCATGTACGGAGCGTTCGTCATGACCTGGTTTTACCCTTGGAGCTCGCTATATAATACCTTGGGGCTGAATAGTTACCCCTACCATGACTAAGTTTGGTGTTCAAGCTCCAGATTCGCGCAACCCCATGCAAATGGGATCCGGGCCCCCTTCTGCTTGGCATAAGGGTTTCCGCAACCTGAAACCCTGACATGGCACCAAGCCCAAACTTCAAGCCTGAACTGCCACAGGGGAAAAGCCATCTCCGATTCTTTGAGCAAAAAACAAGCCCCTCCCTATGGCCAGGGAAAACCACCCCCCCCCCCCCCCAACCTCTTTTCTTCGGCTGGGATGGGCGATCGGATCGGACCGATCCGGGTGGTCTTCTGGCCCCCGCCTGGAGCTGTCCCCTGCGATCTCCGTGCCCCGGCGCTGCAGCTCCTTGAACTTGGCGTCCAGCCTCGCGGCACAGCCGGGCTCAAAGCGACAGGAAGTTGGTCGAAACCCGAGCCATGAAGCTACACACCATTGACCGTGTGGTGGATTTTCATTTAATGGATTCTTGAAGGAATGAATGGCTCCCAAAGCTACCCCCAAGCCGAACCACCGGGACCAGCTTTCAGCGCTCGAGTCCCACGATAGGAATCGGACCTCCAAAATGGCGCAACGGACTTCCTGTTGGTTCTCCTTTCAACCCACAAACAGGGGGCACTCTCAAAAAAAGACACGCCCAAATGGATTTCGGACCCCCTCATTGGTTGGAGGAAGAAACCCAGCATACGAAGGTTAAGGCACCGAATCCTATTCTGAAAAACAAATCGGTGAAGGTTGGGTCTGGCCCAAGGCCAACCCCTTACAGAATTGTACGTGCACAATTCCCTTAGAGGAAAAGGGGGTATACAACCACTGTGGAAGAAGCCACTCCATGGTAGAAGCAAATGGTTCAATACCATTTCTGTGGGTAAGCCAAGGGGATGACCAAATTGAAACGAGGGGATTGTGCCAACAACTTTCAACCAACCGCATCGAACATAACATGTTCAGGCTCTGTGTCACATATAGTCAACCTTAAAATAGATCATATCGGAGAAAACAACAGAAATTGAGCCATTGACGCGAGGAGTCTCGCTTGTGCCAAGCCTTGGGCAACTCCATTTACCCTCTACAAGAACCAGGGGTTCAAATCCAAATCCAAACCTATCCAAACCACAAATTAAGTGTTACTTGAACAATTGCTTAACCAACCTCCGTTTGGCTTCCACCAAAGGCTGGGAGGTCATGCGCCTAAAGGCATAAGGCCAACAACGACCAAATGAGGTCTTACCGGTTGGAGGGTCTTTCGGAGGGATTGCTTGAAAGAATAGGAACTTGTTTCTGAACAAATATATAGAAGTATAAATATAAATACAAACAAAGATGTATTACACATATCTGCCGTTGTGTACCAGTCGTGTCCCTTTTTATGCTAGCAAAGAACGAGAAATCATCACCATAGACAAATGGAAGCTTGTTGCTTGGGTTTCGGCAATGTCAAGGATGCCATTGGAAAACACGAGGCCCGAGCCCCGACCCGATAAGCCGTCAAGGCCCCTCACAAGGGCTCCCCTAATCCCCACGGGCTTACACTGAGAATTCCACTCAGCCCCCGAATTCGAAAAGCATCGGACTTTCCACTCATGGGTCACAACAGTTGAGGGGAAAGCATTCGGCGTGAACATCGCGCTTTGGTCGCCAATCTTAGTTGTGTCTGTCCTGGGTGCACAGGACTCAAACACAGGAGCCCTGAAAGATGGGCTGTGTAGAACAAAGAGTCGGACTTTGGATCTGGGATATGGAACCTCTATTTGAAGCCCCCTGAGAAAAAAAGAAGCCCACTCCCCCTCTTGTTTCCAGGCTTGACTTTTGGGTGGGTTGATCAACATGAGAACGGGCTCCCTTTCTACTTGGCTTGAGTGACTCACTTGGCACATCGAAGCACTGGGGCGCCCGAGCTGGGTGCCGGTGTTCGCCAGGGGCCCGAGCGCCTGCTCGTGGCTGGAGCACCCAGGTTGGAAAAATGGTTTGGTTTGGTCGATTTTCGAAAATTGACTATGAACTCATGGTTGGAACCCTGAGAAATGGATGGTGGACTCTCTTCCCCGTGGAAATGATGTCGGTCCTAATTGCAATTCGAGTACTCGTTTATGGTTGCGAATGAGATTCGCCACACTGGTGCACTAGAATTCAGCGTCCCAAGACGAGGGATAACCTCCAAACTTTGCAAGCAGATCAGCCACGAACACCGAACGACAAAACATCCTGTCACCCTGAATTCACTCAAGTCGAAGCAACTCCGCATCCCCTGGAGCAGTCCTTCCCCTAAAAAACGACATAGCCATTCACCACAACTTTTCAGCTGAAAGTGGCTGGTTCAGGACTATTCCAAAAGAAGGAACATGAACCGAGGTCCGATTTCTCAGGACCCCTTGTGTACATGGACCTGGGTGGAGTGGGTGAGCAAAGAAGAACACAGATATATTTGAATACATATGTATATCTATAGATGAAATGACACACATTTAGCATCACTTTTGACATTGATATCCGAGTCCCACTTTTTGAGCGTCACGTTCGTACAGGAACCGACCGCACTGAAGGCTTGATTTCAGTCTCTCCTTTGTGAAGAGAGAGCACGAGTCTCGGGTCGCGCTATGGAGCCGCATCCGCCCAATATACTCCTCAGGAGAGAGAACTTCCCCATTGCCATGGTTCCAGAAGAAAGCGGCTGGTTAAAGAACCATGGTTGAACAGAATGGAACCATGGCTCCAGGCGTTGCAAGCGTCCCAAAACCTCCACCTGAATTTTGGGTCGAATCTTCGACCCAAAATCCAAGGAACCGCCAAAGCACCGGGCGCCCGGTTCCCACCCTCCCCCGCGAATCGGGGGGTTCGGTCTTGGGTGGGGCCGTTTGCTCGGGTCGCAGACCTGTGGGATCTGCGCCAGCTGCGGCGCCAGGCCTTGGAACTCCTGGGAGAAACCGCAAGCTGATGGGCGCTGCGAGGGGCGTTTGGCGGGCTTGTGGGGTGAGGGGCATGATCCGGAAAGTAGTCAAAGAAACTTGCGAAAGTCGACTTCCAAGGAGGGTACTCAAAAGCAATGAACAAGGGGTTTGGGGGTTTTGGGGGGTGTGAGGGAAATGCCGGAAAGGCTTCCAAGCAGGGTCACAGAAAGCATGGAACACAAGGAAAGTGGTCCAAAACCCTGTCTGCCACTGCGAGGCTGCGCACCCTCAACATGATCCGCCCAAGAGGAAAGTCGGCTAAGGGGGGAATAAAGGGGCAAAAGCCAATCAATGAAGCAGCTTGCTTGCAAACGGCGGGTTTCCATACAGGAGGGAGTCCCCTCCCTTAGTGGAGTAACAACCATCTCATTTGGACAAAGTATTGTAATGCACACACCTCAAACAGGCAATGTGCTAGTAAGGAATCGTCATGGATCAAATTGATCGTAAACCTAATCTTCAAAATGTGGGGTCGCGATCTACTTTGCCCCGATCTCATGTGATGGTCAAAAAGTCCCTAGGTCATGGTCGTGTCGCCCCCAGTAATAGGCATGTCCAAACCTCTAAGGGTTCATAACCAGCTTTAGTAACCCACAAAGAAAAGGTGGTTTGCCCAGAGAGACAATCCCAACATCTTATGAAGAAAAAAACACAAGATGGCCAGCTGGGCCGTTTACCCGAGGGCTTTCGCACTAGCGCTCAAGGATTGAAGGGTGTTCGCCCGCGCAGTGCTAAGTATGCCCTCTTAAATGGGAGTGTCCCTTGTTAATCAACGAGGGGGTTCTGACTCGTGCATCAGAATTAGAGGTTCAAACCAACAATATTTGTTCCACAGGTTTCTGAGATACCCAAACAGTCCAAACACATTTTCGACCGAACAAAATCGCCACACTCCAAGGGCCGTCTCTCCGCACCTCTCCTGCATGAGGCGGATGACCCCATCGATCACCGAGCCAAGGCGCTTGTCGGTGGCTGGAGTCACCTGGTTGAAGCGACTCCGTATCCGCCTCTCTGGTCCGATCATAGAATTGCCTTCCACTCGTCACTTTCCATGGATACACGAATCCCCCTCTCGGACGGGGCGCCCATTTTTTCAAATGGATTTGTTTGTTCAGTTGGTACCCACTATAATCTTGGGGATCCCAAGTCCGATTTCGACACGTACCCTAGATGACTCCCCCCAGACCAAAGCTTTCCCGCAGCCTTCAACCAGCACCCTGCTTCAACATCCTCCTTGACCAAACACTTCACAAGAATCTTTCCCTGGTGGGACCTACCTACAGCCTCACGACAAGCTTATGGATTAGACTTGCTAGAGCAGCGCAACGACCATGGACTCGGGTTGCTCAAAAAAAATATGATCTCAGGACCGGCTTCTTGGAAGAGGCTTGGAGGAAACAAACGCCCTCTCGGGGGCTGTTAGCCTGCAATCTTTCCATCAAGTAGGAAAAGCGAGAACCAAAAATGGCTGAAAGGCATCTGTTTTACCAAAACAAATCCTTTTCTCTTCCCTTTTGAGCGACTCGACCCCGGAACTCCAAGCGAGTCCCCGCCTGCCCCACGGCGCTCGCAGCCTGGCCCTGGTGTCAAAAGTGAAAGGGTTTATTTTGGAGGCAAACCCAAGACCCGAAGCTTCCGAAGGAACTTTCTGGGCTTCAAAGGGCTCGGATCTTTCGCTCCTGAGAACTGTTTTCTCCAAACAGGTTGCAAATGTCATCTGCTAGTAATCGGAGGCATCAGAGGAAAAAAAGGAAGGAAAAACAACTTCGTACATTGGTGTTCCGTTGTGATTCGGCCAAGTGCCGGGCCTGCAAAGGCGGCATCTGCACGGAGGGCTGTCCGCCCAAGGGCTGCGATCCGCCCAAGGGCTGCGATCCGCCCAACGGCGGCGAGCCGCCCAAGGGCGGCGAGCCAGTCAGAGGGGTGCCCAGCATGCCCTGGTAGCCTTAGTCAACTTCCAACCACAAAACGACCCCAAAGAAGGACACAAAAACACACACACACACACACACACACACACACACACACACACACACACACACACACACACACACACACACACACACACACACACACACACACACACACACACACACACACACACACACACACACACACACACACACACACACACACACACACACACACACACACACACACACACACACACACACACACACACACACACACACACACACACACACACACACACACACACACACACACACACACACACACACACACACACACACACACACACACACACACACACACACACACACACACACACACACACACACACACACACACACACACACACACACACACACACACACACACACACACACACACACACACACACACACACACACACACACACACACACACACACACACACACACACACACACACACACACACACACACACACACACACACACACACACACACACACACACACACACACACACACACACACACACACACACACACACACACACACACACACACACACACACACACACACACACACACACACACACACACACACACACACACACACACACACACACACACACACACACACACACACACACACACACACACACACACACACACACACACACACACACACACACACACACACACACACACACACACACACACACACACACACACACACACACACACACACACACACACACACACACACACCACACACCACACACCACACACCACACACCACACACCACACACCACACACCACACACCACACACCACACACCACACACACACACACACACACACACACACACACCACACACCACACACCACACACCACACACCACACACCACACACACACACACACACACACACACACCACACACACACACAACACACAACACACAACACACAACACACAACACACAACACACAACACACAACACACAACACACAACACACAACACACAACACACAACACACACACACACACACACACAACACACACACACACACAACACACAACACACAACACACAACACACAACACACAACACACAACACACAACACACAACACACAACACACAACACACAACACACAACACACAACACACAACACACAACACACAACACACAACACACAACACACAACACACGCACACGCACACGCACGCGCGCACGCGCACGCACGCACGCACGCACGCACGCACGCACACACACACACACACACACACTCAAGACTTGATACTGGTTTCTCGAATTTCCTCCCCTGGCCCCTGGCCTTTGAATGATCACCACATGCCGGTCCGAAAAATCCATTTTGAGAAACTCCCAGATGGGCGCTGGACCGTCCAAGCCGCCCGTACCAAAGGCACCGCCGAAAGCGCCGCCACCGGCCGTCTGCCTCACCTGCTGCTCCGCGTCCCCCACGAAGGACAGCTGCCTGGGGCCGACCCGTCGCCAAGCCCGGGTGTGTTGTTTGGGGAAAACCGCAATTTTTTAGGGCCCCTCCATTTTGACACGTACCCTAGTACAGTGAAAAACAAGGTGACGACGCCCGTACGGGCAGTTTCGCTGAGGTAAAATGGTCTTTCTTGCCCGGGGTTGAGTGTGCAGAATTCACCTCGACGGTCTCTTTGAAAAGTGTGTTGCGTGCATTTCGCCTTAGCAAAACTGCAGTTTCTAGAGCGTGCTGAAGCTGCGCGACCTTTTGAAATCGAAGCTTGGGGTTTAGATCCTATTGGATGGGTCAACATGGCCAACCGAAGCTCAAGTTTACAGAAGAAATGTTTGCAACTCATGGGCCCAAGTCTGTGCTACATGCTATTTTCTCAACGGCCAGGCAAAGACAAACTGCACGAACTCTTGAAGCTCAAGCTTGCTGAGGCTTAGCATTTTGCATTCCAGGCCCAACTGATCAGCCAAGTATGTACTGGCACGCTTTCGTCTCCGCAGCCATACAAAGACAAACTGCACGAATCCGACAGGCTGCCAAGTGGATGAGCGGCCCTGTTGCGACATGCCCAGCCGCACGAGTGGCGAAGCGCAAAGGCGGAGCTAAATGAACATGGTGTTCCTTCAAAATGAAAGATGGTGCCCTTAAAACACGCACAAGTGTGAACCAACTGCTTCCTTTGGTTTCCCTTTGAACTGGTAGCCTCAAACAAAAGTCCAACTCCCATAGCTCACCTGGAGACGTAGGACTCCAGCTCCTCCGCGTAGGGCACCGCCTGCGCCTCCAGCATCTGCCCGCCTGTGACAAAAGACGCTGACGACTTTACCTCTCAGGGGTTGCTTCATATCATGAAGGCATCCTCCTGAAACAGTGTGTCTTGCGTCGAGCACGTGGACAATGTCCCCGGGCGGTGGGTTCGCAAGATATGAATTATGAAAGAAGAAGGAAAAGGGTCGCCAAACTTCAACCCTGGGTGTCCTCATCCTTCCTTCAAGCAGAGCCGGTCATCATGCTGCACACTCTTTGGTTGAATCGCGAGATATTGCACCAACCGGCAATGTGGCAACAGTGTGCCGCGCTCCAGTGGGGTTTGGCAGCAGAGGATTGCACCTAACTGTTTCAACTCTTGAACCAACATGTCCCGACACAGTGCCGTGTGGACATCCGGTTCAAAGCCGCGTGACACAGAGAAACGACCACCCTGCCCGTCCGAAAGCTTCGCTGGAAATCAACATGGGCGATGTCGGCGGGAAGAACCAAGCTGCGGAAACATGGGCAGGGCCCGATACATGGGTAGCATCAGGGGCAAAATGAGTACTGTACTAATACGTTACCATTCTAGCCGACTGAATGTGAGGCCGTTATATTGCTTTATCCACAAAAAAGGCTGAAGCAATTGTAGCTTCGAGAGGGTGCAACATTATCAGGATCTCCAAAATTAATGAAGTACCAACTCAAACGGGATTGCCGGTTACTGATTGCTGAAGTCAGAGCGGCTTGCGTCCTGGGGCGGTTTTGCATATCTTTGGTCACGGCCTTCCCTCGAATCCTATGCTGGCAAGGTTTTGGGTAAGGCTGTTCGTTGGGGTGTGAGTTATAAAACTCGTGGCATCTTGCGTGCCCGCAGTGTCCGGGCGGAGTTGTCTTAAAAGTTATATTGATAGAACCGGTGCTTTTGCTTTTGGAGCGCGTGCCCGAACGCTTTTGGAGCTGCAAGAGGCCACGGTCGTTGTTTTTTTTGTGTGTTCCTTGATGTTGTCCTGCAGTTGACGGGAAAGCATCCGGAAGGTAGTGGTGCCCCCTTGCCTTGTTTATCGTGTTTGGTGCCTCCAAATCATGCAAACTAGGGCTGGGAAGGGTTGGTTCGCAGGTGGCCCTCTACTAGGGATGGCCATGAATCAAACATGCATTTCAGACCAATGTAGCTACCTTGTTTGCGGGTTGTTTCGCCAGCCAAAGAGACCCGCTCATGAAAGTTCTGATGACGTGCCGACTTCCACAGGAGAGAGTAAAAAACGGACTTTGTGCGTTTTCGTCTCCAAAGGGAGAACCCCACCTCAATTGGGGTGGTTTCGTTTTGCTTTTCCATTTCTAAGGTGCCAACTCCAAAAACACGACACACCCCAAGCCCCAAATCTGCACAGGATTTCCAGTCATGCCCCTCCTCCCTGCCCCCCCCCCTAAGCGGAAGCGGGCAAGCGGGCGTACCGCGGCCTGACAGCTGGATGCCCTTCTGCTGCAGCCGAAGGAACTCCTCGTGGAGCCGCTGCGCTTGGGTCGCCAGGGGGTCGAAGACCTCGCCGTAAAGCGGGCGCTGGTGCCGAAAATTTGAGGTGAACCGGGAACGACCGCGACAGAAACCATGCACACAGGCTTGTGGGGTCCTTTCCAAAGGGAATACCTGGCAAAACTTGGTTTCACAGAGAATGAGGCAATGACCCCAGCCAAAGCCATCTAACTTGTTGTTTGACTTACGGAGTTCATTCTCGAAACGCGTGATTCCCTACCGAGGACCAGCAAGAAAAAAGTGGTTGATAGTGGACAGAACAGAGCTCCCTATTAATGCCCCTAGCAAGGGAAACTCACCTTAAATGGGCCGCAAAGGTGATGTTTAAACCACAAACAAAGGGACAACCCTGTAGGGGAGTTGGTTTGTCTCTTTTGCGGGGTTCCCAGAATGGGTAGTTATACTTGGGCTTCTGTTTAAAACCCAAGAAGGCACAGCCCCCACACCAAAGAAGCGCACACTCACATGTCCAATCAAAACTCCCCAACGGCCCATGGTATAGCTCCCTGCAAAGGAACCCTGTCTAAAACCCCTGCTAAACGTCTCATGACCATCCCTACAACCGGAGTAAAAGGGAGCTTTCACTATGACACATGTATGAGGGCTACGTTTTGTTCTTATGATGACTCAATTCCCCTCAACCCCATTCGTATTATTTGGGGCCTTGTAGTTCCCAAACCAAGCTCACTTCAAAGTGGCAACCAAAAAGATATCAAGGCCAGCAAACTGTGATCAAAAAAGTGAACCCTGATGCGAGTAGCTTGGCTCACAAAGGGGGGGTTGTATCAAAACCACCCGAATAGCACGTACGAGTATTCCTTCAAGCTGAAACACTTTGAATGGAACATGAGCTGGGGAAAGCTGTGGCCCTTCGGAAAAATAAAAATCAAGTGGCAACATGTAACATAACTGTATCCGACCCGAGGCTCTCTTTTACCACGGTGTTGCTGAATGAGGCCACTGACAAGAATGCCCAACACCGAATCCCCTTCGTACTCGGGTTGGCGTTTGAAGGGCAACCAGAAGGGAATTCACCATCTCTCTTTCAGCATCAGCCCGCCAAAGAGGATTTGAGTCATCAAAACCCGATGAAGAATTCTGAAAAAGGCAGAATACCCCTAGGCTTCAACCCGACTCGGTTTGGAGGACGGGATTCATTTGACACCTATGGCTCTGGGGTGTCCCATCTTCGACCCAACTCTGCCGACCTGCGGCGCGGTACGCGCGGTACACGGGGCGCCTGCTGCGGCAGGCTGGGCAGCTTGGGGTGCAACGCCTCGAACCGCTGCATGCCGGACTGGATGTCCTCAGTGCCATGGATCCAGGGCAAGGGTCATGTTGCCCCTTTTTGTCTCAGGCTTCAAGAACCTCGCCGATCTGGCAGTGCGACTTTTTGGGGGGGTGGGACTTGCCCAGAAAAGAACAACTATTGGAAGGAAAACACATGGTGGCAAGGGACGAGATGCCGTGCCAGGAAAACGGGAAAACGAACACCGGCTCCGACTCGAAGGGAACCCCCAAGCTAAACCCTCTGCTACCCAAGCTAAAGAAATTGGAGGAAGGAGTCGGCTTGGGCTCATGACTGCAATGGAGAGCCTGTACTTAGAGCTCTTGTTGGCCCAAACGGTGCCCAACAAGCCTCTTGAATTGTTTGAGGGGAGATGAAGGGAATCTCGCCCGGATCCTGGCCCCCAAATTCAGCTCAGGCTCCAGAATCATCTGGTTCTAGTAAAGACAGGTTGTTCTTTTAACAACACCAAAAGTTGACCATGGAAATCTGATGAGCAACCCCCAGAACTGATCTGGAAAGAGGAACCTCCAAAGGTTGGCTGGGCGTGGCTTTACCCTTTCCCCCTTTTATAACCAACCCAAAAAGGTGTTCGTTTCGAGAAAAAGTCGCAGCCATTTCCCAGAATCTCCTCAGAACTTCGTTGAAATGTCCTTTAGACCCCTGCAAAATCCCCAGGGCCCGAAACCTCATTGGCGGATTAAGCTATCGCTGTTGGGGAAGGGGTTACATTGGCTTGGCGATTGGCGGGGTAAGCCGAGGAGCTACACGCCTGCAATAGTAGTGCTTAACTTATTTAGTCATGTTTATTCATCGATTTCTTTATTTATGTGTCTATTTACTTGTTGCTTCATCTATGTGTGTTTCTTTATATCTATAGTTGTAGATTAATGTGTATATATATATATGTATATATATATGTATACATGAAAGCCCCAAAACTCTTGCTGCAAAAGAAATATCTTGTCTTGGAGAACCCGATTGGCTTTCATGTTTGTCTGAAGGGACGCACATTGCAGTGCAGCCCCCATGTCATCCTACACCCTCAAATGCTGGATGTTCACCATTCCTCATACCAACACCTTGATTCGTCCGATGTAGACTCAAACTCAGAGAGGCTCTTTCAGGAAAATCCACCCCTGGATTTGAATCTACGAATTGGCACAAAATGGACATCGCATCTACGTGCATCGCGTCGCCTGCATGGCCTTCTGCAAGCGCCGCTCCGTCGCCGCCGAAGCCCCGGCCCCGGCGGCGCCGGCGCCGGCGCCGGCGGCCCCCAGGCCGCCGAGCGCGGCGCCGCGCGAGTCGCCGAGCGCGGCCGGCGCGAGGCCGGGCGCTCCAGGCGACGGTGGGCCGATGCGCCGGGCCACGCCGTGCACAAAGACGGCCAGGTCTCGGTGGAAATTGATCGCCTCCTGGAATCCCATCCCTTCACGGGATTCCCTGGGCCACTCACGGAAGTCCGGAAGGTGGCAACCCAAAAACAGCTGAAGCAAGCACCACAGTGGGCAGAAACTAAGGCCCCCAAGCTACGTCAAGAAGCGAAACAACCCCTGAGAAACCCTCAAAATGCAGCCACTCTAATGGACTCACAAGCAAAAAGCTTTGTCTTTGTGGGGGGGTTCCATGGTGGGATCTTGTTTTAAACAAGGGAAGCCAAAAGGAAAAAACCGCCCATGTTCGCTTTGAAGGGGGGTTCCCCATTTGGGGACACAGCCATACCTGCGAAAAAGTAACGCTTTCTTTGCCTGTGGCATGGTATGGTCAGCCAACCTCGTTTCTTTTGGAGGGAGGATCAGCTCTGAAAACATGGGCTTTAGACCAATTGAGTCATACTCAGAACCCGGTAATAGAACGGTCTACCCAGAATCATGCTTCAAGAATCAAGAAGGCGGCGAAGGCACCCATCTATCGTTGGGATTGGCCCTTACTCACCTTCATCTACCCGGGTTTTGAGGACATGGCTCAATGGTTTCGAGGCTTCTCAGGGATCCCTGCATTTGACGTCAGCCTAGCCTCCTCCAAGTCGGGCCCCGCATCGACTTGGAGTCTCCGCTGGATGGCCTCGAACCGCTCGTGCAGCTTCCTGAGAAGCTCAGTATCCCAACATACGAGTCGCTCTTTATTAAACACATTATAAGGATATATATATATATATATTATACACATGTTGTCATTTGTGTTGAGGGTAGGTGGGTTAAACAGGAAACCAACAGCAAATCACTTTGTTTTGGGGGGGGGGGGTCCCGTTCTGAGTCACATACCCATGTGCTGTACTTGATGGTAGATCAGCAACAACAGCACGGTTCTTGTTTGAGGGCCACCGCTCAGGAACAACCTCCCAGTGGATTCAACCACGGTGAATCAGGGTTTGCGTCCCTGGCCGGGGGTGGGCTTTTCGTCACATTCAAACATTGCGCTTCAGTTGGAAGCTCTTGAAACGGCATCACGAGTCACTACAAGGGACACGAAAGGAGGGTAATCTACTGAAGGGCACCCAGTAATGATCTTACACTTTCCAGGTGATGTCTAAACCACCTTGTAAACAACATAGGGCAAATCATAAGCGGTTCACCCACTGAAAATGGGAATTGGACCCCCACGAACCTTCACGTGGCCGCGGCGTCGCTAGAGCAACTCCCACCAAACGAAATCCCAAGTTGTGCCGTAGCAACCCCCTGGATGGTGGGGAAGCTAAAGGGAACCAACCAAAGCGCCCACGGTTTTACTTTGGGGTTCCTCAATGGAGACGTAAAATCAACCGGCTGGCTATGGATTTGGAAACCCCTCAAAAATGGGCGGACATAAAAATCCCGACGCAGATCCAAAGGGCCCAACAAACTAAAGTTCATACCCATATGGGTCCCACCAAAAATTCATTTGTCTGACCTAGGGATGTCCGCTGTCTTTGAGTCTGGCACTGAAAAGATCGAACTCTGGGTCCCTATGCGTATGTCAAAAAATAGCCTGACTCGAAGAAACACGGACTCAAGGTCTCTCCCGCAAACCCAACGAGCTCCTCCATTTGCCTGGAGTCGATCAAAGGGGGGGATCCAACCAAAATGGGCGTCCTTTTTGTTTACCTTTGAAACCTGGCTCCTCTTCCCCCCTGAGCAAAAAAGGTCGATCACTTTTGTTTCTCGAATAGGGAAAGCCACTTTTCGAAAACGTCTTGTCGGGGCAACTCAGTCAAGGACCAACCATGATATCAAGCCTGTCAGGAGTTTATCAAACTGAGACTCAAGCCCCTTTTGTTTTGTCTTTAAAGGGGAAGGCGATTGAGGAGGTGTTTTTTGGTGGAGTGGGGCCTCCTACACACCTACTTCCCAACCCACTTGTTTCACTCCAATTAACATAGAACCAACCAACAAAAACACCCCAGTACCTCCGTATTAGGTTCTTCCGTTTTGCAGAGATTTATGGTTTTAAGGGTGGCAACTGAACCACTTTTTGCCTTCCCCTGGGTTTCCCTTTCAAACCCGCCAAAAAGGCGACCAACTCAAAAAAAAGGCGACTAACTCAAACCAACAAAAAACAGCAGGCTTCCTCGCGGTTTCTTCCACCAAAAGCTGACGAAAACGGGCGCCCACTCACCACTCACAGGCGCTGCGCGGGCTCGGAGACCTGCTGCAGCTCCCCCGGCGCCAGCTGCGCCTGCGCGATGGCGGGCTGCAGCTCCTGGCGGGCTAAGGGGCCGGGCCAAACAGCGGGTCTTCGGATTCCGGGGTTGCCCGCGGACATTCGCTGGACACAAACAATTGGACACCTTGGGGTTTTTCCATTGAACGCAAACAAGTTCTACACCCTGTTTTTTGCAGAGGGGTCGTTGCAAGTTCTACAGTTTTTCCATCGGTTTCTCAAAAGAAAAAATCCGCTTGAGGGGTCGTTAGAGCAACTCACCCCTGGGAATGTTTTACCCACTCCAAGGGTTGGAGTTCGATTCGTAGGAGCTCGCCTTGATCTCGGCGACGTTCTTGCTGGCGGCAGGCGGACATTTCGGCGCTCGGAGATGGATATATGGTTGGTTATTGTTTCAAGCGCATCAATGCAAAACTCAAAGGGGCTGGGTTACAGGACATTCTACAGGAAAACAGCTACTGGACATGCGCTTCAGCTGGAGGCAACTTGGACCCTGCATTTTATACTTTGCAGCAATCTGTGTGGAAATTCTTAAGAGTGCAACATGCCAATTCTGTGAGATTCCAGCAAATGTGGAACACTGTGCAGAGGTGGAGGGAAGAAAAGTCTATGGCCCGTGTGGGGTCCTAGCAAATAGGTTGAAACCCCAAACTATGACCCTTATATGCTTTGCCTGTGATGTTGTTAATCAGAGAGCATGAGATTGAAATCATAAAGGTGGCTGCTCACACTGACATAGCTCAAGCGGAGGATAAGCTGGGCAAGTGGAACCTGTTGGGAAATGAGGCAGCAGATGAAGCGGCAAAAGACTCAATGAGCCATTCTTTTAAACAGCTTAGAACGGCGGTTGATACAAATGAGGCCGCCTCAACACTCTCATTGAACATCCTGGGCAGAGTTGCATGCGTCAGGATGAAGCAGGCGCTTCCAAACATCAGCCAAGCCAAGAGTCAGAGCAAAAAAGAAAAGTTCCCGGCTTTGCAAGGCGGGGGTGACCCCGGGGCCCGAATCCGGCAAAAGGCCCAAGGAAAAAGCAGCGGTCGACCATGTGGCCTTGTCTTAAAATAGGGGCCCCTGCCAAAATGGTGGCTTTATTAAAACCAGCCAAAAGTGGGTTCCCCTAATAATAGACATACCGATTTGGTTGACTCAAAGAGCGGGTCGCATGATGCTTGGGCTGGTCCTTTGCTCCTGCCTATCTCCGGCAAACCAATGGTTCTAGGTCCCTGACTCCGGAACCGGATGATGCTTTCCTTTATGCCTGTTCAACGATTACTTCGCTCACAGTGGCCCCCCTCTTGCGGCACTGCGCATGATCATGCCCCGTAGAAGAAGTGTTCATCTTAGAAAACAACCGAGTCCTGTAATGTCCTCTTGCAAAAAACAAGGGCTTGTGATTTCGGATTTGGAGGCTTGAAGTGTGAACCACAGACACCGAAAAAGATCAGTTGGGGTTCGAACGCTTTTAGCTCTGTGTGGGGTACTCAAAAGGACTTGTTCAGGGCAAACCAACAAGCAAGCAAGCAAGCAAAGAAACAAACCTTACCAAACCAACCCAACCCAACCCAACCCAACCCAACCCAACCCAAACAAACAAACAAGCAAAGTGACAAACTGGCAAACTGGCAAACACGGCAAATCCAAGCAAGCGAAGCAAATCAACGCAAAGCACGGCAAGGCCAGGAAAGGTCAGGAAAGGTCAGGCTTGCAAGCAAGCAGGCAAAGGAAGGCAAGGCAAAGCAAAGCAAGCAAACCCGCAAATAAACAAACAAACAAACAAACAAGCAAGCAAGCAAGCAAGCAAACAAACAACAAAGCAAGCAAGCAAGCAAACAGACACGGCAAGGCAAGGCAAAGCAAAGCAAGGCAGCAAGGCCGGCAAGCGAGAGAAGGAAAGGAAGGAAGAGAAGGAGGCAGGCAGGCAGTCAGGTAGGCAAGCAAGCAAGCAAGCAAGCACAAGCAAGCACAAGCAAGCACAAGCAAGCACAAGCAAGCACAAGCAAGCACAAGCAAGCACAAACAAGCACAAGCAAGCACAAGCAAGCACAAGCAAGCACAAGCAAGCACAAGCAAGCACAAGCAAGCACAAGCAAGCACAAGCAAGCACAAGCAAGCACAAGCAAACAAGCAAACAAGCACGGCTCTTCACAAACACCCATACTCAGACCTCCAAGAAACACATGCAGTTGGTTGGCCCTTCCATCCCCTTGGTCTCCTCAAAGCGCCGCATCAGGCCGGCAATGCCCTCCACGGCATCCTGGCACATGCCGCCAACTGGGTGGACAAAATGTCTTGTGAACTCAGCTACCATGTCAATTAAAACCCTTCTCCGCTTGGAGCACCCCCCCCAAAACAAAAACAAAACAAAAAAAACAACAGCAATTCGCGGAGTGTCAAATGTGCGCTGCCCACGCAACTTTGCAGCACCGAATCAGATCCCATCCTCCTTTCGGTTTGCTCAAAGGAGCCAAACTGTGCTGCTGAAACCCAGATGAGCACGTGGTCAAAATTATGTTGTGGATCATGGCTATAGCTCCATTGCTTCAGTCAGCGCTTCCCGATCAATCCGCACGCTCTTCAATATTGCGTTTTTGGGGGCCCCAAACTGACAGCGCACAGCTGCGCAGGTCTGTCTCTTCTTGCAGGGCTCAATGGGGAAAGGGCTGCAATCATGTTGAACTTCAAGAAACACAGCTTTGTCTGGCCTCTGTCTTCGCGAAACCGGAATCTTTGCAATGGTTCCCTAGCTTGCCTGTTGAAGGCTGGTGACCATCCGTGAAAGGGGTTTTGACCATGGTACGCACGTTCTCCGTTTGGTGCTCTTTTCAGGTACTGTTAACCCCGGATTTATCAACCTCTGAGTGACAAGTGAGGGTTTCCCTTTAAAATGGGATGCCCCCGTGTTGATCAACCATAGGTTTATGAAGACTCGGTCAATACCTGGATTCTAAAAGACCTCTTTCTTCTGGCAGAATGCCTTTTTCCTTAGATTTTGTGGGCAATAAAATGCCGTGTGTTACAGTAAAATCTAACAAAGTGCACCAGTTTTACACCAGCACCGTCAACATCCCCAGTAACGTGTTTGACACCCCCAGCATCGTTTTCAACAAGGCCGGCATCACCAGAAGCTTTGGTTGGTAACTAGGCTGAGATTCGGGTGGTTCAAAGCTTTGGGGGGGGTTGCGTAGGGATGGCTTAGTTTAACTTTCTTCAGGGTTTGGGTGCGTTCAGGTTTGGTTTAGGGTGGGCTTCGTAGGACTGGTTTAGGATGGGTTTAGGGCGAAAAGCCATGAAAAAGCCAGGAAAACTCGCGAAAAGAGACAAAACCCAGAAGCTGGCCCGGAGAAAGCTAAAAACAACCGGAATGTGGTTTTTGACCTGTATAGTATCTTTTTTCGACCTGTCCTGGCATTCAACTCACCAACACACAGACCGACCAGCCGACTGACCGACTGACCGACCGCCCGACTGACCGACCGACCCAAGCGACCGATCGAGGGACCGACCGGAGACGACCCGGCCCATAGGAAAACAACTCGAGGCCCTTTCCTTTGCCCGTCCCACAAAAGGAAGAAAAGTCGAAAAGCAAAGAAAAAAAGGGATCAACAAAAGGGTCTCCAGGTACTCTTGTTGGGCCCGACGACCAACCTCCCGAACAACTTCCTGCAGCGCATCCGGCGCGCGGGAAAGCTGCGCCGCTGCGGCGCAGAAAGCTAAAGCGAGGCGGAAGGCCATCGGCGGTGCGCCAAAACTGCCGAACGCCCAAAATCGCCAAAGCTGGGGCCTCGGCGTCTGCGCGCTTTTCTTTGAAGCTCTTGAATTCTGATCCAAATGCTAGGTCCACATCATGATCGGTGAGAGAGTGTAGTCGACTTCCACCGAAAAGCTCGTGAGCCAAGGGGCGCGCAAAAACGAGTGCCCGCAATCGCAAGTTTGATTTGGGCTCCGTCTGTGCAAAATCAAGATGACTTCAAACAATGAGACGGGAGACTTTAGCTACAGCTGTAGTCACCGCATGTCATCGCTGGAGGAGATGGCAAGCAATGGCAAGAATGAGAGTGGAAGCCACAATGGGAACAGTGCGCGGTTATGCGGTGGAACCAAGTTGGCTTTCTAAAGCTTCTGCATCAAACACTGGCCGAGCTTGGCAACCACGGTACATGCAATGCGATGAGCCAGTGTATTCCCCAAGTGAAATCACACTGTCTGAAGGAGTTTGTGGGTCACAGCTGGTCAAATCTGCCGAAGACCACCTGTTCCTTTTGTGCCACGCCGAGTGATCCGAAAAGAGGATCTTAAATTGTCCGTCCCCGCTCTCGGACACGTCCGATCCCCAAGCGCGCCCGACGAACGGTCGCGAATTGCCGGTCGCGGATTGCCGGCCGCGCCAACCCAAGGCGCGACGAATCGATCGCTCTCTAAGGCGAGAGCTTCGAAATGAAGAACGAGGGCTGTAACTCTAATTGGGAAAAGGGGCCAGGAGAGAGGGGGTTGCTGCAAATCCAAATTTCAGTGAAGAGGGAAGCAGAAGGCAGCAGTGGTAGGATGACAATAACAACGATAATAATAATGTCAATAATAATCATAGGTCACGATATATAATGGTCCAGAGATTGCTCCTGTGGTCTGCTACCCCGCATGCCGAAATTCTCCAAGCCTCCTTCCTTCCGTCGGGACCCCCGCACACTGGGTCCCCGAAGCTCCCCTCTACAATGGAGAAAGGAAATCAAATAGGGTTGGGCGGACTTTTGCTTAAACATGTTTGCACGCCTGTTGCAACAACAACTCCTTTGGGTCCATCCGAAAGGGGGCGTTGGGGTCTGGTGGCAATTACACAAATGCCCAACCCCGGAGAAGGGAAACCTCTGGACTGGCACTGAATCTCTGACACTTCCGCCGCGACAGCAAGTAATTGCAACGCAACTCGCACTCAGCCTCCTCGCCGCGCCTGGAAAATCGATTTGTCTAAAGAGCGATACCACTCACCGAGTAAGCCAGACACACGGCACGTGTTGTTGGCTCTCCGAACGGACACCCTTGGTGTTTTGGGAGTTGAAAGTGCAACCACTTTCGGAAGGGTTTTACTTGTAGCCTACGAAAAGATCCCCCCCCCCTTCGAGGGGGGGGGGGGTGGGGGGGGGGGGTCAAGAATGCAGTTTCCATTTTCAGGGAGGGGGGGGGGGTCAAACAGCGGAACCGTAAATTTCCTAGAGCTGACTTGTGGGAAATTTCTTGCCCGTCTCACCAGTACAGTTGCTCGTTGCTTCCATGCTTTTGCCCAAGAAACCTACATACCTTCCCCACGAACAGGATCAGGGGCCCTGTCTGCCTGCTCGTTTTGCGCTTCCAGCCAGTGGCAACCAATACAAAAAGCTTCATCAATGCTTTACGGTGGCTTGACTAACAGCATTCGCAAGTAAATTCACAGCGAAAAGTCAGTAGACATTGGCAGATGCCAAAAAACATGATCTCAAAGCATGAGAAGGGCCAGGTCGACACCATCTATTATTTCACACACCACAACCGCAGTCCCAACCGCCCTCCCCCTTCTGGTTAACGTTGACACCAGTCTGCATAAAGCTAACCCTCATGTTTGTTCCCCCTCAAGGAAGTCTAAGGGATTCTTCCTTGAGGCTCGCCATGGATTCGCCCATCCCGGGGTGATGTGGATCCGGAGCAATAGGTGACGCGGGTTTGTCTCAAATCTTCGAACCGCGGGTTTGCTTTCAGTTTCCCTTGAAGGGCCAAGCAGAAGGGGATTCCTCAAGGACACGCCTCGCAGGCCGGTTCTGTGCACCCGAAACAAGGAGTTGTGTGCATGTTGGAATGCGTCTCCCTCAACCTGTACTTTCATGAGACACCTGTATAATTCAAAGCTCGGGTTACCCTCAAAGTTATAGCTTGGGGTGGCAACAAAACCTCCAAATCACCTTTTGTTTTGCGCGGCAAAGACACATCCCTCTTCTTTCCCTTCCCAAGGTCTGAAACGACCCACCCTCCCAAATGCAGTCATGGAACCTCAACATGATTGTGGTACGTATCTCTTTCCACGATCCCAACAGCAGAATACCCATCCCCATGACTCCCCATGACTACATCTTTTTATGGGGGTTGACTTGGTGTCACAGAACGTGGCCATAAGCCACCATTGAAATACCTAGCCCGACACATGGTTGATCCGATTCCGTCGATTTTTCTCGCCAAGGTGCCACCTCTGTCTGTAGCCGGAAATGTCTTCCTAGGTTGAAATTCAAAGGGACTCGGCTCCACGGCTCCACATTTGGAGTGCTAGCTCCTAGCTCTGAGGCATGTGTCAGGCGCTGAAACCAACAACAAACCTGAAAAGCTGAAACCGGCCTGTGAGTCTGGTGGCCTTGACTTGGGCAGGTCAGTCTGGTATCCAAGAACCCGGATCCCGCCATGGTTCGACGCATGTGGTTAGAACCTGTTCTTGTGCGGTTGGTGTCGGCACCCGGAGACTGGATTTTCAGCTGTTGACTACAACCCCCCATTGCCCCCACTATCCCTGGGATTCCAAACGGGTGCTTAGAATAGCACTGGCTTTTTGCGAAAGCGTAGCACCAAATTTCATCCCAGGCGCGCATCAGGTGCTTGCGTGTGCCGGGAAAGGAGGTGAAATGCTTGCCGCACAGCTCGCACTGGAACTTATACTCCTTCACCTTGATGATGAACGCCTCAGGCGCCTGAGATTTGGGCCAAGACTACCTCGCATAGTCAAGAACTTGAGGGATGCATTTAATTTGAGCTTGGACAGCGCCAAGGCGGTTGAACAGGGATTAGTTTTGCTTTGCTGGGCAATGTGTCAGACAGCAAAATCCACCTGGTTCGCCAGTGCATTTTCGCTCGCTCCCATGCTGTGAACATGGGTGTCTACTTTTTGGATCCGGTTCACTTGTAAGTTCTGAATAAATCCACACGGCATGTCGCACCGTCATCTGACTTCTGTCTGGCGGGCGGCTGACATCAAATTCCCACTCCTGAAGACCGAAGGAACTCATCCCAATGACTTCCCTTGCATTCGCAATAGGAACATGTGCGGGGAAGGCTCCAATGACGGGAAGGCTCCTCTATAGAGGATACGCCCACGCCCTTCCATACGTTGCTTGGGGGGTGGGGAGAATGACCCCACTCTGCTTTCACACTACGGCAATGAAGAGCGAGCTCCCTCAATGACTTTCATTACAAAGTCCGCTTTCGCCAACGCTACCAGCTGCAAGTCAAGCAATGATGTCTCCCAAATGACTGCTGTCCAAGTAAGCCCATCTGTTTGAAGCAGGACACCCCCCCAAGTCAAATGGGAAGCGAAGTTTTGCGGAATCCAATGAAATCCATTCCGGTAATGGAGAGTGGCACTGATTGGACAGCACTTTCCTGTTCACCAACGAGCGGACGCAAGGAAAAAAACAAGCAAGCAAGCAAGCAAAACAAACAAAACAAAATCATATACGAAGACAAAAACAAAAACCAAGCAAGCAAACAAGCAAATAAAGCAAAGCAAAACAAGCAAACTAACTAACACCTAGCCTACTTCGTCGTCGTCAGCTCTTCTGAGAAAGGAAAGCTACCACCCAACATTCTGATATGAAATCAGACGCGGCTAGTTTGCACACCTTTCCAGGACTCCCTATTTACTCACCGCACATCCCTGCATCCAAGGGAAGTCACGCGAAACTTGGGCCCTAGTCACTCCCCGCCAATGGCCATTGTTGGGCTGCAATGGCTCCCCTGGGAGTTGGCTCTGCATCAGTACATATCTCTCGCCTTGCCCGCGGAGGAATCGGCACGCCTCCGTGCGAGAGACCATGAGACGGGCACACTTGTTTGGTTAAAAGGAAGCCGAAAGGAAACCAGCTGACCTGGGAGTGTTAAAAGGAAGCCTGGAACTGCCAGGCTAGAAGCGCTCTGTGAGCAATTCAAGGGTGGCTTGCCCTGTTGTGTTTCTCTTTTTTATCGAGAATAGGGTACCCTCCAAATGGGCGGCTTCTCTTTGGCTTCCGTCTTAAGACAGCGTGGCACTGAAACTCCATGCTTGCAGACCATTTGAAGCAACGAAAGGAAACACAACCCAACCCGTTTCCGCGGAATGATTATTTGGAGCCGAAAACGCACAATGTATTCAAGGGCCTTACCCAAAACCCATGGTGACTCCTTGCCTCTTTTTGAATAACAAGGTTGCCCCCCCCCCCAGCCTTTTCTTACACCCCTGGAAGTACCTCTCAGAGTTGAACCACCGGTTTTATCCAGGTTTCGGATTTGGGACATTTCTCACTGAAGCCCATGCGTGAAAAACTATTTGTTATTATTATTATTATTATTATTATTATCATTATCATTTTCATTATTATTATTATTCGCCTCGGCCCCAAAGGGGCCAAGGGCGCTCAGATCTCTTCTCCAAAGAGAATCTTCGCTTTTCCCCTCCCCCAACCCCCTCCCAAACCAAAATTTTGCCGGCCGCCCCCCCCCCCGTACGTTGAACACTGCCGGACAGTACAACTGTTAAACATGCGACGCAGATAGATAAACAGATGGACAGATAGATAAATAGAGATAGAGAGCGAGAGAGAGAGAGGGGGAAAGTGGAAAGCTAGACATGTAGATAGATAGACAGATAGAGAGACAGAGAGGGAGAGAGAGATAGTTAGGTAGGTAGGTAGGTAAGTAGAAAGAAAGATAGATAGATAGGTAGATAGAGAGAGAGAGAGAGAGATACCGATATATAGATGGATGGAGTGGTAGATAGATTGAGAGAGAGAGAGGGAGCTAGAAATATAGGTAGATATATAGTTAGATAGGTAGGTAGATAGATAGACAGATAGGTAGATAGTTAGAGAGATAGATCGAAACAATAAGAAAGAAATAACAGAAAGAACGGAAAGAACTAAATAAAGAAGGAAGGGCAGGAAAGGAAGGAAGCAGGAAAGAAAGAAAGAAAGAAAGAAAGAAAGAAAGAAAGAAATAAAGAAAGAAAGACAGACAGACAGAAAGAAAGAAAAAAAGAAAGAAAGGAAGGAAGGAAGGAAGAAAGAAAGAAAGAACATCAAATAACAAAGAAAGCAATAACGATGGACAGAAAAGAAACAATGAAAATAAAAAAGGAAAGAAAGAAGAGAAACATCGAGAAAAGAAAGAGAAGGACAACTATAGTTTATATATTTTGGAAACTTCCGCCCCCCGGCTGCGCCACGCCCGCCGCGCCCGGGCCCGCGCCCCCGCCCGCCGCGCCCGCCGCGCCCGCCGTGCCCGCCCGTGCCCGCCCGCGCCCGCGCGCCCGCCGCGCCCGCCGCCCGCCCGCCGCGCCGCGCGCTCGCCGCGCGCCGCGCGCCCGCCCCGGCCCGCCCGCCGCGCCCGCCGCGCCCCCCCCGCCGCCGCGCCCGCCGCATCCGCGCTCGCCGCGCCCGCCGCGCCAGCGGCGCCCACCGCGCCCGCGCCTGCGGGCCGCGCCCACGCCCGCCGCGCACATCGCGCCCGCGCCCGCGTCCGCCGCGCCCGCCCGCGCCCACCGCGCCCGCAGCGCTCGCCGCACCCGCCGCGCGCCCGCCGCGCCGCCGCGCCGCCGCGCCCGCCGCGCCCGCGCGCTCGCCGCGCTCCACGCGCCCGCCGCGCCGGGCCCGCGCCTGCCGCGCTCGCCCGCCGCGCCCGCCGCGCCCGCCGCGCCCGCCGCGCTCGCCGCGCCCGCCGCGCGCGCCCGCCGCGCCCGCCGCGCCCGCCGCGCCCCCGCGCTCGCCGCGCTCGCCGCGGCCGCGCCGCGCCGTGCCCGCATCCGCCCACCCACTGCGCCCGCGCCCGCGCGCGGGCCGCCGCGCTCGCGCCGCTCGCCGCCCGCCGCGCCCGGCCCCGCACCCGCCGCGCTCGCCGCGCCACAGCGCCCGCCGGCGCCCGCCGCGCCCACCGCGCCCGCGCCTGCCGCACCCACAGGGCCCGCGCCCACGCCCGCCGCGCACATCGCTCCCGCGCCCGCGTCCGCCGCACCCACCGCGCGCCCGCGCCGCCCGCCGCGCTCGCTGCGCCGCCGCGCCCGCCGCGCCCGTCGCGCCCGCCGCGCCCGTCGCGCCCGTCGCGCCCGCCGCGCCCGCCGCGCCCGTCGTTGTCGGCTGGCCCAAAATCCTGTCCGGCGCCCTGAAAAGCATGACCTCCTGCTGGCCAGGCCTGTCTGACGTGTCTGAGACTAGGCTCAGGCCCAGCCCAACCAGCAACCCGCCTGCTGGCCAGGCCTGTCAGCCCATGTGCCAAGGTCAGGTTTGTCCAACGTGTCTGAGACTGGCCTCAGGCCGCGCAGTCTGAGACTGGTCTCAAAGTATGCCAGCCTGAGACTAGCCTCAGGCCAAGTACCGTGTCTTACGTGTCTGCGCCTCAGGCCCAGCCCAGCCAGCAACCCCAAGTGTGTATGAAACAGCTGGATGGGCAACCCGCCCACAGCCCTGGCCTCAGGCCAGCGTCTGAGACTGGTTTCAAGCTACACCAGCTACTAAGCCTGTCTGACGTGCCCCAGACCCTCAGTCCGCCTGCCCAAGCAGCTCAGCCCCCTGCTCGCGTCTGGCCCCAAGTCATCCAGCAGGCCCAGCTTCGGCGCAGTCTGAGACTGGTCTCAAAGTATGCCAGCCTGAGACTAGCCTCAGGCCCAGTGCTGGCGTGTCTTACGTGTCTGCGACTGGCCTCAGGCCCAGCCCAGACCAACTTGCCACCCAGCCTCAGGCCCAAGTGTGTATGAAACAGGCCTTGCCCATCCAGCAACCCGCCCAAGCACAGCTCAGCCCAGCCCGCCCAGCCCAAGTTCCAGGCGCAACCAGCAGCGTAGTCCGGCTGCCCGGCAGCCAGCAACCCAGCCATGGCTTCGCAGCCTTGTTGACAGCAGGCTCAGCTCAGCGTGCCAGGTCAGGTTTGTCTAACGTGTCTAAGACTGGCCTCAGGCCTCTCAAGCTACGCCCCTGCTCCAGCCAGCAACTCGCTACCCAGCCTCAGGCCCAAGTGTGTATGAGACAGGCCTTGCCCATCCAGCGACCCGCCCAAGCACAGCTCAGCCCAGCCCGCCCGCCCAGCAACCAGCAACTGAGACTAGCTTCAGGCCCAACTGGCGTCTGGCCCAGCCCAGTCCGCCTGCTGGCCAGGCCTGTCTGACGTGTCTGAAACTGGCCTCAGGCCCAGCCCAGCCATAGCCCAGCCCCCTCAGTGCGGCTGCCCAGCCCGCCGTAAACTAGCTTCAGGCCCAGCTCAACCAACAACCCACGCAAGCAAGGACCAGCCAAGCTGCCCGAGACTGTCCGAGCAGGACGGCTTCCGAACATCGAACTAGCACGGGCGAACTGGTGCGGTCACAAGCTTTCAGTAGGATTCGGACCTTCCCAACACTGGATTTCGGTGTTCCTGACCCTTCCCTCAAACTAGGCTGGGCCGAGGCGGGCAACGCGAAGCGTTTACAATTATTATTATTATTATTATTATTATTATTATTATTATTATTATTATTATTACTATTATTACTATTACTATTATTATTAGTATTATTAGTATTATTATTATTATCATTATCATTTTCATTATTATTCGTATTATTATTAGTATTATTATTATTATTATGATTATGATTATTATTATTATTAGTAGTATTAGTATTAGTATTAATAATTATAATTATTATTATTATTAGTATTATTATTATTAGTATTATTATTATTATTAGTATTATTATTATCATTATCATTATTAGTATTAGTATTAGTATTAATAATTATAATTATTATTATATATTATTATTATTATTAGTATTATTATTATTATTATTAGTATTAGTATTATTATGGTTGATATTGTTATCATTATTATTATTATTATTATTATTAGAAAAACAGATTGATAGCGACGTTGGTTTCCATTGCCAGAGCCAATGCATCCGCCTGCCTCTTCTCCTTGCTCGAAGCAAGGAAGTCCTGGTGTGTTGACGCTGTATGTTCGTGAATTCAAAACTGAATATCTAGGCATTGCACAAGGGTAGCTCACAAAAAGAGGTGCCTAGCGGAAAAAAAGATCAACACATAAGCAGGGAGCCTTTGGGAGCATCCGTGTGCACTGCGACTTGTCCGCCAATGTCATAGAGTTAGGGACACCAAACGGGCCATGATTCGATTTCGAGGGGGGAACCTTCGGCATGACGCGCATCTGCGCATGCCGCGCATGCCGCGCATCTGCGCATGTGTCCTGGGTGTTACCCTCCTGGTTTTTGGGCGTTTCAGGCAAACCACATATTTCACATGGTGTCACCTCAAGTGTAGCGGTTTGTCAAATTCGGGGGCACCTTGGCCCCAAAGCTTGGCCGCACGTTTGATCCGGCTATCCTGGAAGGCCTCCAGGGCGTCTTCTGGAGCAACGCCATCCTGTCAACACCACAGCAACCCTTTGGTTCTGAACCCCTGGGCCCTCAGATCTCAAAGTGACGAACCTTTAGTGGGTGAAATTGGGAAACTACCACTAAACCAACTCAAAAGCTAAGAAGCTAAGGAACCGCGGCCGGGAGCCACCAAGACCTATTTTGGTTTCCCGTGAAAGACCAGTTGTTTGTTTGAAATAAGCTTGCAAAAACAACAAGAACCCCAATCATGGAAGTGGACAGGGGGCTACCCGCCCCAACTAAAAAAGACATCGAGCTCCTGTCAGCTTCCATGATATAAGAACATGAACAACCCAAAGGAGGTTTGGCTACCCTTGTTATAAGGATATTGTGTATGAACAACCTCCTTTTGGTTTCCTAGTCAGACCACTCCTCCACATACCGCAGCACGAAGTCTCGGAATGTGGGCGTCTTGCCTGTGGCCTCCTGGGCAATGCCCACGGGCAAACCAGGGGAATAACTTGCACCCAGGGGACATTTCGTGTCGGAAATAGGGGGACCCCCCAAAGGGTGGTTTCCTGTTGGATTCCTTCTAAAGCTACCCCAATAACGCACCCATTAAAAAAAAAGGAAACCCTTGAAACCGTACGAAACACATGCGCCACTCAATCAGCTCCTCCGGCCGCCCCCACTTCCGGTCGCTCCATTCGGCCTCGCCGCGCCCCCAGCGCGCGCGCTCGGAAGTAGCCGCTGGCCACCCGGACGCCGGCGGCGGCGGCGGCGGTAGCCACGGCTTGGAGTTGCGCGAGGCCTGCGGCTCTGAACCCATCAGAAAGCACCCCACGTTGTCGTTTTGATGTGTCCTTTCTCGTCGTTTTTTTTGCCCGTCATCTGGCAACCCCGCCTTGCGCCTGGAGCCCCCTTTGGACCGACTCTCGCGCGCTTTGGACCGACTCTCGCGCGCTTTGGACCGACTCTCGTGTGGGCGAGGGTGCGAGCTTCGAGCCGGGTGCACGAATCTGCAGCTTCGGCGTGTGCAGCTGGCGCCGTACCAGCACGGGTTGGGCCCGCGGCGGCGCAGCGGCGAGCGGGACCGTAGGCGCAAAGACGGTTCCCAGGGGCGGGAGGGGCTCAGATCCGGCTGACCTTAGTCAACGTACCCTAACCCTGGCTTTGCTTGTCGTATATGTTCTATCATCATCGTACCCTACTCATGTGTGTCTATCATGTTGAACAAAAAGATGGAAACCACTACCCTCCCACTAACTAACATGGAAGTGCAAAAACGCCCTTTCCAAAAGGAAAGTAGTCTTTCTACGGGGTCTGTGTGCTTCCATGTTAGCTGGTGGGAGGGTATGAGATGTTGCCAAATGTTGAGCCGGTGACTGGCACCGGGCACCGTTGGATTCTGGCCGTCCAGGTTCTCGGACTGCTTCGCATCCAACTCCTTGCCCGCCGTTTCGGCGCAGTCGTTGCCAAGAAGTGCTTCCAGGTCATCATCCGAGTCGCTGTAACTGGACGAAGACTTCATCAGAGGCCCTGGTTGAGGTTGCTGCACGTTGGAACTGGTAGAAGCCTCTGAATCCGACTCGTCGTGATTTTCCTGCTGAGTCAGCGCAGGCTGACCTTTGGCAGGCGAGGACGCCAATGGCTGCATGTCCTGGAGGGCCAAGGAGCAAAATATGTTATGCAAGTGAACCAACTGCAGCCAAGGAACCCTGGTAAAATAGATGAGACATTTTCCCCTTCGACTTGTTCCCTGTTTTGCAACATGATTTTTGAATCAACCGGAAATCCAACCCTCAAGGCTGGGTACAGCTGGTGCGCCTGTGCAGTTCGACCTCAAGGAAAACTTAGCTTCGCGAGCGGAAAGTGCACAGCAAATGATTTAGGTGTCTCAAAATAGGGGACCCAACAAATTGTGCTCTTCGCCCTGGTTTCTTTTTAACCCCAAAGTGGGCCCTCCAAAAAGCAAACAGACCCAACTGGCCATGGTGGGCGCTGTTCTGAGCGCAGGACGAGGACAGTTTGCCTTGAAGCCCTGTCTCCTGGGCCACCTAGGGTGCATACCTATCGAAGTAAAACCTTGCACAGTCATGGCGCAGCTGCCCATACATCACCCCTCCTGTGAGTCAGGGCCGCTGGCATCGTGGCTCATGGCGGAAGACGAGCCACAAGAAATGGTCAATTGTCAACCGGATGTCGTGAAAAGAATCTGTGCTGATTGGGACAAAGCATGCCACAACCGCAGCGGTCCCGATCTTGCGCGGCTGCATGGAAACACACGATCCACAAGCAAGCGCAGCGTTGCACTGCGCGAGCTTGTGCTCATTGTGCACATGATCCAAAAACATGCGCTGGAAATGGGCACTTCTCTGAATGGTTGGTTTCCTTCGGGTTGCCCTTTACACACCACTAAGGCGCTCCTTGGGTTGGGCTTCCTTGGTCGGGAACTCACTCATTGACCCCTGCTTGGAGGGTAGTCGGGGGTCATTCCCAACCGAAAACAGGAAGTGGATATGGGCTTTTGACGAAGCATGGTTTGGAAAAACATCCTTTACCGGGGTTTGGTTCTGATCCAGCGCTCAAACTTCCCGGACCACTTTGGCCAGGAGTGAAATATGGTGTGAGGGCCATGAATCTTTAGAACCCTCTTGGAACCAAGCGCTGTGCCAAACACGCATTTTCTCCGGGGCGGTATCAGTGACGATCCTCTCAGTTCATGCGCCTCAAGAGGTCGTTGATCAACTCCTGGCATCGGGGCAGAATTCCAGCCAGTCGCGCTTTCCGTGCGTTTGGCACAAGCCCTAGGCGATGTTCAGGGCCCGTGTTGCCATTCACCCAAACAAGAATCCGGAATCCCCTTAAAACGGCAATTTAAACTGCCAACGATTGACAAGGAATACATGCGAACCCTGCACTGACACTCCAAAAGCTCGCCTCGCGCCAGTAAAAAAGGCATCCAACGGATTGAGAACCCGCCGAAAGAGCAGCCACTTTCATGAAGTGCCGTCCTGGCTACTAAAATGCTGTAATTTACAGCATTGTCTCGCGAAATGTACGTATTTTACGCTAGTCCGTCAACATCATCAGCATCGTTTTCAACATCCCCCGCATGTCCAGCCAACATCCCCAGCATCACCAGCAACTTGGCTTCCCACATCTCATGGTAAAAGTGAGGATTCAATTAAAGGCGCGGGGGGGGTTGGGGGGGACGGCAGGCCCCCCCCATGATGATCGAAAAAGTGATGATTCAATCAGGGGCAAAAAGTCTAAAAAATAGCGGGGGGTTGGGGGGGGGCAGCCCCCCCATGATGATCGAAAAAATAGGGGGCAAAGAATCTAAAAAGTAGCGGTCGCATGATGATCGAAAAAGTGATGATTCAATTAGGGGCAAAAAGTCCAAAAAATAGCGCGGGGGTTGGGGGGGGCGGCAGCCCCCCCCATGATGATTGAGAAGTGATGATTCAATTAGGGCCAAAAAAAAATACAAAAGCAGCGGGGGGGTCATCAGTTCCTCTGCGGCAAGGCCTCATGGTACAAGTGAGGATTCAAATACGGGCAAACTCATCCCTGTCCTGTTAGGATTCGTATCCGGGAGCCCCGTTTTAGCATCAAGCAGCCTGAGAGAAAAGGTTGCAGCCCCTGACAAGGGTTATGAGCCCAAAGCCTTGAGGCCGCGCCGCGCCAATGGATGCGGGCATGAGGCGGCGGAGGTCGCAGAGCATGGACCCGGGGGTCTTGGTGGCCGAGCCGGACGGCGAGGCGGAACTTCAAGAAGAAGGACACCCGGGAGATGCTGGGCGGCAAGAGCATCAGCAGCGGAGGGTGGAGGTAAATCCTTTCTGGAGCTCGCGGGCGGTGGGGGAGGCGGAGTTGAACGCCATGAGGCCTGTTGGCTTGCCCAAGGTCCCGGACACCGTCAGTGCGCAGAAGGTCAGGAAGGAGACGGACGATGAGGAGGGTGCCGGAGACGCTCCTGCGGGAGATCTTCCAGGGCGAGGAGTTGGTAGCCACCCGGAAGCTGCTGGGAGAACCAGGAATGAGGAGTTCTGGAGTGAAGTGAAGAGGGATTTGATCGCGGACCTAGAGAATGCCGGGGCGGCGGAGGCAGCCAATGGTGGAGAACAAGGCCCGCGGGAAGGTAGGCGAGGTGAACCAGCTCTACTACATGGTCATGGGAGGGAGCTGCATCAAGGAGCTGATCTGTCGCCGGGTGATGGACCTGGATCGTCAGCAGATGGCCCGGGGAGACCTGGGTTGATGCGGGGGAGACCGATGGAAAGAGAAGGAGGGGCTTGAGATCCGGAAATGGGCCCTCCACGAGCTCTACGGCCAGGTGAGGAACGAGGAGATGGACCAGTTCCGAGGCCGAGTGATAGATTGGCGTGGTGGTGGACGTCGGGAAACACGGGCCCCACTACGTGAGCAGCGAGCCCTACTACCAGGTGAAGGGACTGGAATGGGATGTAGCGGTGAGGAGGTCAGGAATCCTTGGTGCCGGAGGCCAGAAGCGGGCGGAAGCTGATGAATCCGGTGGGGACGCATCAAGGAAGTGGACCTGGGCCGGACGTGGGTTGGACCTGGACTGGGTCTGGAGTGATGAACATAAGGTGTGGGTTCCGGAACGAGCCCAACGTGCAGATGAGGACGACGAACTGATCGGGGAGATGGACTTGGCGGAGAACATGGAGAGGAACTACGCACTGGCCTGCCGTAAGCTGCAAGGAATGGAAAAACAGCGGGACTACCTCTTTGGGGTGATCAAGAACCTGCAGAACCGGAAGGTGTGTAAATCAAGCATTCGTGCGCGAATGTGTATGATTGCCCGCCCGAGAGGCAACGCCAAGCATTTGTGTCACACGACACACGATAGTGCGGTTTGACCGTGCATGTTCGGAAAAGCATGTTTTCGGCCTGCGCTTGCGGTATAGGCCTCCATGGGCCTGAAGCCTTCTCCATCTGATGACATCTTGTCCGGTTCTTTTTGAAAGCTCCGCTACCACAATTGAGTCCCGCACCGGGGGCTCAAAAGAAAAATGCTGTGGTAGCAGTCTCTGTGGCCCTGGATGTATATACATATGTAGATATATCCATATATATATATATATATTTATATCTATATATATGTTGCTTTAACGTGTGAGGGGAAGAAACGAACAATTTGCACATCCATAGCTTGTGTTTGGGAGCATGCCTTTTAAATCCACCCAGTTTCTGTTCTTGAGCTGCAAACACACGTGGTGTGGCACACATTGCAAGCAGCTTCGAAGCAGCCGCTTTTAAAGCATCAAATGGAAGCTCTTCTTTTGGAGCGCGAGCTTCAGCAAGGAAGGTGCGACCGCCCGCGCGCGCTTCAGCCAAAGAGTTCGGAAGTGTTTGTTGCCCGCCATTGAAAGGGCATTGCGGGAATGGACTTTATTTAGAAGCGGCTTCTGTTTTTTGCGGAGCCGCCGAAAGGTGCGCAGAGTCGGGCCCCTTCGAACCTGTTTAGGGCGTCTCTCGCAAAGGCGTCCCATTTGATCCCAAATCTATGGAACAAAAAAACGGGGAGCTTGACCTTCGCGCAGTTTTTGTGGATCGCCCCTGCTTCCTGCCATTTCCTGCTGACTCCATGGCGCCGAACAAGTCGATCCTCAAGGTTAAGGGGACCGTGCGGAAAAGGGACAAAAACATTCAGAAGGCCAAGACCAAGGCCCCGCTGGTGCGCTGCCCCTTCCAGCCAACCTTTTCTTTGCTCAGCAAATTTGCCACGCTGCAGCTCGGTGACACACATACAGAGGGTCTGAGAACCTTGTTTTGAACGCACTTCGCCTTCAAACCGCGCCATGCAAGTGAAACTCACACGGGTAAACTGGCGTTCGCCTTGCAGCCATCTGCGTGGAATCTTTGTGCTCAGGCTTCACTTGCTGATCCAGGCTGGCATGCCTTTCACAGTGCTCAGCGTTGCGGAGATGGTGCTTCGAAACATGACAAGGCCCAGGTTGGCATCTTGGCTCCACTTGGCTTTAAGAAAGCATTGTGCGTCGGCAAGCATGCGCTGGACTGACCTTGAATGGCCTGCCATCGGGAACCTAGGAGATCTCAGCCTGCGAATTTTTCGCAGGAATCAAAACAGTGGCAAACGGATTCAGGCGGGATGTGACTGCAGGTTGCTGGGCCCTCGCCCAAAAAACCTTCGCAGGTACTACGGCCAGCCAGCTGCCTCATACGAATTGACGGACGATGGATCCCAAGATTTGATGAGCCCACTGGGCCTGGCACTTGCCCTATCACTATGTTTCAGAACCTTCTTTCGGGAAACTCGCCTCAATTACTTTGCGCGCTGTCATGTATACTTGCAGCAATTGTGACCGTAAGGAAGGGTTCACTTGGTGGGCGCCGGTCTGTTCCACTTGGATATGGATAAATAGGCACTTATAGGGTTGGCTTTGACTCCGAAACATCTGCGCTTAGAGCTCAGTGATTTTCTGCAGGGGTACATCCCTGCGGACGGCAGCAGCGCCATTAGGTTCGCGCCAGAGAACCGTGGCCGAAGCGACACTCGTTTGCAATCGCGGGGGGGCGCCGGCTGTTTGCGGCAACCCAATCCAAAGTGACGCTATCTGCAATAAAGAACGGCGGCGCCCTGTTAGCAAAACCCCTATTAATTTTGGATGGAACTAGCCACTGTTATGGGAGCAACGACAGGAACCCTTTGAGGGCTAAACCCCCTTTTTGAGGGTCAAATTTGGGTGGAATAATCACCGTTTAGTTAGACACCGGCGGGTGGCAAACTTTGGACTGAACTTCCTCTTGCGGCAATTTGGGTTTGTCCAAAAATAGGGCAACCTCGAACATGATAGTTTCTTCGTTTCTGTCCCTTTCAAACCATCCGAAAAATACCCTCAAAAAAGACACCCATTTCGGGCGGGACTAACTAAGCCCCTGCTTTGGTCAAACTAGACCTCCTTTTGCGTGGAACCAAAGCCCCCTTTTGAGTTTGCAGCGCTAAGTGAAACCAGGATCACTTGTGGAAGCACTTTTTCAAGTGGAACTGAGCCAGTTTTGGGGCTCTGTTTTTTTGCAGCGCAAATAAACCACCCCCTTTTCTTTTGGGTGGAATTAAACACTCGAATGGAACAAGGCATCCTGTTGGGAGGAACTCTTGGATGCCCAAGAGACTTTTCTTTTTGTAAAACAAGCAGTGGTGTGAAGGTCTTGCTCGCCTCAACGGGTTTCCTCTGAGGGGTCCTTTCAAAACAAGGGCTCTGTTCCTGAACCTTTCTGCAGTCACTAGCCCGGACACGCGGTCGCTCACCATGTCATCCTGCCGCAGCGAGAGTGCGGAGAATTCGGACGAGGAGCTGGAGACGCAATACGTGGCGTCTTTGCAGGAGGTGGGGGAGTTGCTGCTTGAGTACATTCCCGCTGAACACAAGGACTCGATAGCAACGAGTGCCCTATCACTAACCCAACAAGTTTATACCGAAGTTGGGGTGTCTGATTTTGGCAGGAGCGAGCTGTTGTGGCCCTTGGCAAAACGCCCACAGCTAATCTTATCGTGGGCGACTTCCTCAACCATGTCGGAGAAGATGAGCTGACGCTTGCCCAAAGCCGGCCATTTGATTTGTCCCGCTCTTTTTGCTCTACTTAAAGTTATTTTCCCAAAAGGTAAACCTTTATTTGTGGGTTCTTCGCATGCCCAGGAAAGCAAATGCCTGGGTTCTCCAGCCTCTTTTAGATTTCCCGCCCTTCCAGTTTCGCGCACC